ATTATAAGATGGAATTTTTGCGTCGGGGTGATAAATCAAATTATAGGTTTTGCCCTTCACTGACGTTTAAACACTTTTTGTTTGTATACTCAGTGTGTTACCTAATTTGTTACTAATTACTGTGTCTAAAAGAGGTCCCCATTCCTTCCTCGATGACTGTACTGTGGAACAAAAACACTGAATGTGTTTCAACTTTCAAGCCAGAATAACTTGGCAGTGCAACAATGTCTCCCATCTTTTTTCTTAAGATTTTTGTAATTGGTATAAAAACCTATTTTCCTGTATAATACACCAAACTAGTAGTTACCTATAATGGCAAGGTCAAGTTCGTGAATAACTTTCACAAATTGCATCCTTTCCCAAAAAAACCAAAGACAGCTTTTCTTTTAAACAACTGTATTAAGAACTGACATATCGTTGCATGTCATGACACGACTAGGGCTGTGCATCAGAACCAGGTACCCAAGTACCCGACCGATATCAGGAACTGATTTCAGATTGTGGAATCCAGTACCTGTAATTAATGTATTACCTAGTAATAATGTACATATTACCTAGTATTTTTTTCAGCCAATGAAAAAGAAAGGTTTGAATACTCACCCCCAGACAAAACTTTCTGAGTAAATAATGATGACATCACTTAAATAACTAGAAATGTGTTTGTGGACAAACACTGAGCTGTTTCGACCGTTTTATTAATGACTGCCGTAGAAGGAGTTTCATCCAGGTCGAATGAACATGTACATGCGTATTCTATACAAAAAGTGTCTATCCTACGTCCCTGACTATGCATGAACATAAAATCTGTCAAAGTTAGCCGGAAATCGGCTAAAACGGTCACTGTGGACAGGATTTGACCTCAGCAACACGTGCGCTGCGCGCGGGCTGACTGACATACGATATGTACAACGTACGTGCATGTACATGTACATTGTGGACTGTGCATGTTTTAAAGCAGAGTTATTGTCAACCTGAAGTTTTAAGCGTGCGCAGGGCATGTCCGAGTTTGCTTATTGCCTCGAAGCTTTGAAATATTTTAGACCTACCCTTAAATAGACAATTAAAGTAAAAACTAATATAAAAACTGCCATGGTTGATTTTTCAGGATTTTTTTAAGGAAAAAGAGTCTTTCATTATAACTTCCGGTCTGATGACGTCATACACCTTAAACTTCGCACACGTCTTAAGTGGGTCAAGGTCATCATATACACCAATATTTAGGCGATTCCGACAAACTTCGCAACAGACATCTATTCAAAATACATTTCTGAAAATTTCAACCTGTCGCTAGAGGGCGCTCGAAGATTGCATGACGTCATCGGTAGATGATTTGAAGAATACTATCAGCCAAGAGACTAACACAGTTAAAAGCAAGTTCATATCTATTACCACTTTTAAATAATAAGCCACTTCTGGTTTTGGCCTTTTTCGACCGGAAGCAAGGGTCACGTGATTTTACGCACACTGAATGAAATAAAGACCTCAACCTACTCTACCACTTGCCGGCAACAGAATGCTGCGGACGCGTACGGTTGATTTCTTATGCATTTTTAAATATTAAAATTGTCACAATTTAATTGCCTATAAATAAACACCGGATGACGTCATCATGACGTCATCATTACACAATGTTGTTTGAATTAGGGTCATTGCTTGGACAAAGATTGGTGTAAATGAATTACTGGCAAAGTGTCGAAAATGCCCTCTGAAAATTGACATTTTTTTTTAAATTTCTGTGTACAAAGTCTATGGGAAAAATTAAATATTCAAAATTCTATAATAAATCACGTGATGACGTCAGCATGACGAAAAGTTTCAGCGCACATCTTCAGATGGTGGTCTAAGTGTGTGCCAGGTTTGAAGTCGATCGGATTTGAAAAAAAGCCAAAAGTGACTTGTAGAACGAAAACACGTGTTATCCTATGAGAAAAAAGTCTGAAAAACAAAAGAGAAACTAGAAATGTGTTTGTGGACAAACACTGAGCTGTTTCGACCGTTTTATTAACGACTGCCGTAAAGGAGTTTCATCCAGGTCGAATGAACATGTACATGCGTTTTCTATACAAAAAGTGTCTATCCTACGAAATTTTGCAAAAATTCTGTTTGCAACAGAAGATAGGGCTTTTCCACATTATGATTTGTTTTTATCAATAATACGTCCCTGACTATGCATGAACATAAAATCTGTCAAAGTTACCCGGAAATCGGCTAAAATGGTCACTGTGGACAGGATTTGACCTCAGCAACACGTGCGCTGAGCGCGGGCTGACTGACATAAGATATGTAAAACGTACGTGCATGTACATGTACAATGTGGACGTCCTGGATACTGTGCATATTTTAAAGCAGAGTTATTGTCAACCTGAAGTTTTAAGCGTGCGCAGGGCATGTACGAGTTAGCTTATTGCCTCGAAGCTTTGAAATATTTTAGACCTACCCTTAAATAGACAATTAAAGTAAAAACTAGTATAAAAACTGCCATGGTTGATTTTTCAGGAATTTTCTATGGAAAAAGGGTCTTTTTATTATAACTTCCGGTCTGATGACGTCATACACCTTAAACTCCGCACACGTATTAAGTGGGTCAAGGTCATCATATACACCAATATTTAGGCGATTCCGACAAACTTCGCCACAGACATCTATTCAAAATACATTTTTGAAAATTTTCAACCTGTCGCTAGAGGGCGCTCGAAGATTGCATGACGTCATCTGTAGATGATTTGAAGAATACTATCAGCCAAGAGACTAACACCGTTAAAAGCAAGTTCATATCTATTACCACTTTTAAATAATAAGCCACTTCCGGTTTTGGCCTTTTTCGACCGGAAGCAAGGGTCACGTGATTTTACGCACACTGAATGAAATAAAGACCTCAACCTACTCTACCACTTGCCGGCAACAGAATGCTGCGGACGCGTACGGTTGATTTCTTATGCATTTTTAAATATTAAAAGTGTCACAATTTAATTGCCTATAAATAAACACCGGATGACGTCATCATGACGTCATCATTACACAATGTTGTTTGAATTAGGGTCATTGCTTGGACAAAGATTGGTGTAAATGAATTACTGGCAAAGTGTCGAAAATGCCCTCTGAAAATTGACATTTTTTTAAAAAATTTTGTGTACAAAGTCTATGGGAAAAATTAAATATTCAAAAATCTATAATAAATCACGTGATGACGTCAGCATGACGAAAAGTTTCAGCACACATCTTCAGATGGTGGTCTAGGTGTGTGCCAGGTTTGAAGTCGATCGGATTTGAAAAAAAGGCAAAAGTGACTTGTAGAACGAAAACACGTGTTATCCTATGAGAAAAAAGTCTGAAAAATAAAAGAGAAAAAAAAAAATAACAGAAACAAGAGCTGTTTCGGTGTGTACACCGAAACAGCTAAAAAAGAAATAACAGAAACAAGAGCTGTTTCGGTGTGTACACCGAAACAGCTAAAAATATATAACATGGGACCAGTCAACCAACAGCCTATCAACATACATGTACCGTAATTTCCTGCGGATAAGACGCGTCTTATCTGACTTTCTAGACCACAAAAACATCGCTGCGCCTTATCTACAGGTGCGCCTTATCTGGTGTCGCTTGAGTTCAAAGTGACGGTCTTTGTGTGAAGAATTCTTTCAATGCCGCAATCAATAATGCGGTCAACCGAGGCTCAACTCTCCAGACATTGTGACCGTATTTTTATTCCAACAATGCCGCGATGTGTTGATCCCCCATGATCGTGCTTTCCTTCCAACAATGCCGCAATGCGTTGATCCCCCTTAGTGATCGTGCTTTCGTTCCAACAATGCCGTCATACAAACGTTTTTCTTTGTGGCCGTTTTTTCATTCCGAAAATGCTGCAATCAGAATTACTTAAACGTTTGGAAATCGCATTCACTCAAGTTCTATTGTGTGAACGTTGAGGGTGTTTATTGTACAGGATATCTTCGAAGTCTGCAAGCCTGAAGATCAAGATGAAAACAGTGCGAGTCGGTAAAAGCGGCTCAGGAAAGCGTACTTCCGGCCCGAGCGCCATGTTATGCATACAGAGACCGCGCGAACCTCAGTGCACGTGTGGCCGAACATTTTGTAGAAACACGCTGCGGTGTATCATCAAGTCCGAGCGGTAAAATCTCGTTAAAATATATAATTCAACGGACAAATACATACACAGAGAAGAGAGATCACGTTCTGAGAATTAATTTGCGGAAATTCTCTTTCTCCACCGATGTATGTTATTTTCTACGATCCAAATTCGTCCTGATACGCTACTGTAGTCATGCACGGAACATCATGGTCCGGTACCGTATGTAGGCCGTAGTCACTGGTTCCTGGCCCACATCATAGCTTCGATTCTGTAAGCATGCGATGAGAACCAACGAATACTGATGGCACTGCTGCCACACGGAATATCGTACAGCGGCATGGCTTCGACGACGTGCATCACAAATGCGTCAGAATTACAGGCCTTTTCGTCAAGATTTAGCGTGTCAAGATGAAATAATATCGTGTAAACGATTATGTTGTGCATGCAAATGGCATGTGTAATATTACTGTGCGTATCGGCGGCTGAAAATGTGATCGGCAATTTGTTTTCTGTGTACGGTGAGTAATTATACTGACACTGTGACAGCTCGGTTACTTCTCCCACGCGGTCTGGGTAAATTTTCCCGTGTCGAAAGTCCAAGTGCGGACAGTGGTCACATTTGACCATTTCTCATTTTACTATCGTCTCGGTAAAACCTTCCAAAAAAAAAGTCCAGTGCGGACACGGCTTAATTCATCCTCCAAATAGTGTGATCGTTCTAAGGCAACACAATGGCCCCTTTGTGGCGATGTACCGACACCGGGTGACGCCTGGTGTTCTTCTGTGTGCGGTCAAACATGCGTCTTATGCGGCGGTGCGCCTTATCTGTTGGCGTTTGAATTTTTTTTGGGTGATTTTAGGGACGTGCGTCTTATCCGCCGCGCGCCTTATCCGCAGGAAATTACGGTAAGCATGACAAGCCTTTCACATCTACTCTGCCATTGACTTATCACACAGTGACAAAAATATGGACTTCACATTCAGTGCCTTTCAACTACATGTATACACGATCCCATCTGACATTAACTTGTTTTTTTTTTCACCAATAATAATTCATCGCAGCAAAATATTTCTTTTAAACCTAGACACTGAGGTACTAGCCTACAAAAATAAGCAATAACTCTGTGTCTCTTAAATGTAGTTGCTATCTTTTAGCAATAGTGGCAGTTCTGTAATAGCTACTGGTAACATCATTGTCAAAGGTGGTACAAATATATATTCATTATGGTTATCAGATTCCACATCAAGATTCAAATGCACTATGTGATGTACTGCTGTATATTGCAGTGCCTGATGAAGCACCAACCTACATTCAGTCTAGCTCGTCCAGGCTCCTGCCTAGCTTCTGCTGTTTGACGGCATTGAGAGATTCTCGAAGTGCTTGGACCATCCGCCACACATCTTCAAACTTGGTATAGAGAGGAATTGGAGCAAAACGTATGACGTTGGGCTTGCGTTCATCACACTGTCAACACAAAAGCAAAACAAACTTTCAAAGGTGGTCTCTGCTATGGTCTTTTAACAGGTTGTTATAAGACTCTGGAACTCACAATGTAAAGCCTCACATCATGTGATTGTTATACTTAGTAAATGTACTGTACACACGTTTCTGTAACACTAAAAGAAGCGAAGAACACACAGCATGTGGACAACTTGCAATTACTTCCACGGTTCCTCAAACTGATCTCAAAGCCTCAAATCTTACTTAAACTGATCTCTGTCTAAACGCATGCAAGATTCATATATTTGATATATATAACTGTACACTGCAGTAACAGCCAATCCAGATGGACGTGATTTGATCAGTCCAATCAATGAGAACATACCAAGACTCCTCTCTTCAGTAGTTGAGTGAATATGTCATCTATGGCAGTGTTGAACATCAATGACAACTGGCATCCTCTCTCAGAAGGCTCACTGTACAAAATCATCACAGACTGCAGTTAGTGCAGGAAACACATATCATGCAGTGATTGAAACACTACCAAGTTGAAAGGCAAATCCTTATATTAACCCTAACTCCCTACTGTCTTTTACTAAGTACTTGACCAAGTCTGCCAAAAACCACCAATCACACTGCTAGTCAAACCAGGCCTGCAAGACCAAGTCCCCCAAAATCCACTAAAATGGGGGATAGATTTTGATGGAGTTGGGGAGGTAACGTTTAAGCACTACAAAGTTGAAAGACAAATCTTTACCTTGAATTTCTCAATTCGATTTTGAAATCAACCAAAGTACACGGGATACAAGTATGATGTGATGTGTCAAAAACAGACTCTTTTGGGCAGCTGTTCGAAAATAGTTTATTTGTAAATGTTAAAATACGCATCTTCCTCTCTGCAATGTGGCAATCTGCCTCCACACTATGCTCCATCACACACGTCAGACTCAATGCACTGTACAGTGCACACACTCTTGTTTTACTATACTCCCAAGGACCATGCTTTGTGTTTTCCTTTGTCCCAGTAACACACTCCCATAGACTAAGCACACAAACCTACCACAGAGGACCGTTTTGAACAAAAGACCCAACTCCCGAGGACTGAAAGGATCTGTTGTTCTCCCTTTGTGTGTCTGTCCTCAGGGGTTATGTAGAACAAGTACACACAACCTTATGGATGGATTGGCTCCTTGCATTGTTCTCCCTGTATCCCTCTTCTTTGGAATGTCCCTTCTGGGGAACCACTGTTCCTTTTGTGTGAGTACCCCATAAGCTAAGATAGCTCTCGTGAAACACATGAACTAACCTGGGAGTAATGACATGAATGTAGATATCTGTAGCTGCATCGTTCAGTGTCTTGCCATTACTCTCATTCTGTGGCAGTGAGTGTGGCTTGCTGAAGTATAACCTGACTAAATACTCCAGATACCCTGTCAGTAACAAAGACTTCTTCCGCAAGGCACTCATGGAAGTCTTTGCAAAAATCTAAGAGAAAAAAAAACAAAACCAAACAACTTGATATGAATTTCAAGAACAATTAATTAAACAGGCATGTAACTGAGAAGTCCCATAAACAGAGGAAATTCAAATCTTTCCATGCAAATATGTATAACTTGTACAAAAGATGGGCGGACAAACAGTAACGTGAGTTACCGTAACATGAGTTAAAATATATCCTCGTAGAAATTTTGTGACTGATTATTTAATAATTGTAATGGTAGCATATGGCTTGTACCCTAAACAGATTTTTCCATAAGTGCACAGTATGAGGAAACCTTGAAATGTAGGGTATTTAAATGTTTGCCATGTCCTTTTCTTCGAATGTGAGTTACCAATAAGAAACTTATTGCCAAACCAAATTCACTATCAATGCTTTGACTTTATAGGATAAGGCACCTATTGGAGTGTCATGGCCTAGCGGTTAAGAGCACCGGATGCATGTTCTGGCGTTTCAGAGGCAACAGTGACGTGGGTTTGAGCCCGGGCGCGGACACTTGTGCTCTTAAGCAAGGCACTTAACCATTATTGCTTCGTCCTTCAGATGGGACGTTAAGCCGTAGGTCCCATGTGTTGCATAAATGCACGTAAAAGAACCCAGTAAACACTTATCGCTAAGAGAAAGGGTTTGCCCCGGTTTTTTTGGCCTCCTGTATAAACTCCCACGTGGAGTATCTAGGAGAAGAACCAACCAAGAACCAAGAACCAAGAACAGAGTTGATGGAAGAACCCCTCCCAATGTAACTTGCGTTACCATGGAATAGCCTGCTTAAGCCGCCTCACCCACTACGCGTTGTCAAAACAACATGTATTGTTGAATTGGCAATGAACCGATGTATAGCAAACACATCAATATTTATCCCATTTTAGTACGTGGATGCCTCAAAGTACCGATACATTTCAGCAAATGACTCATTTTACTAGTGTTGAAGTCAAAACCATCACATGTCCACTCAAAAGTAACACAAAATTCCTTCATTGTTGATAGCTTCTGATTGGTCGAGACTCGATCACGTGGGGGTGTATTAATATGTGATATAAAGAAGGGCTTCAAGAACAAGCCAATAAATGGCCCCTGATGCATGAACCAGCATTGATCCAGCATCATGTAAGCCAAATAATTGGCCAATTTTACAACAGTCCTACGCTAGTTTGTAACAATACAGCAGTACACATGCGCTAAACCACCATCGCGTGAAGAGTTACGTGCGCATACGCAACGCAGTTGCTATGTGCAGGTGCGCGCGCGTATTAAAGGAAGTTTTCAAACGCCATGTTCATACTGCAGTACTTATGACATAAGTGTGGAGCGATCCGCCCTTGGACATATTTACTTTTAACTCTAAACTGAGCATCTTTGTAATTCTGGACACAAGAAATATGTAAACGAAATTTCAGCTTCAACCATCAGGTAAAAATATGAAAAAAATTGTTGTAATTTGTTTCGCTACGGCAGCAGAAGTTCATACCCTGGACCTCAGTGGTCATATGCAATAAAGATACCGTCCAGCGCAGCATGGGCCCGGCTAGGGTGGTATATGACAACGCATATTGTAGAGATAAGGTACTACGCATAAGCTACAATATGGCCACCGAATATGAACACAAAAAGTCAGGAAATATTGCCGAAAGAAAAGTCACAAAATTAGAGCATTTGAACTGTTTATTTCGTTAAAAAAGGTATTTATTAATGGGAATAACAGTGTGAGAACCCAGTTTTCACTGCGTGATAATGACCACGTTGGGGGTGACCGCTGTTAATTACCTCGCCTTCGTCTCGGTCCATTAACAGCGGCCATTCCCCAACCCGGTCATTATCACGCAGTGAAGACTGGGTCCTCACACTGTTATTCCCTAAATAACAAAGGAAGGGTTTTTGTTACAGTTCATTTGAATAGGGTGTGACTGGATGAGACTGGAGGATTTAAGATGGAATCGACTGCAACAAAGTCTATCATTTATGTTTGACCATGTTTTGTGAGGACATCTTACCTCCAGACTAGCTTTGACTGGTATGATAGCCATCAAGGAAGGATTACTAATCCTATATCCTGCTATCCCTGCTGACAAGTCCATTTCTGTCAGAATAAAAAGATGGATACAAACCAAACACAAAAAGAAATGGTCAAGACATATGTCACAATTTGAATTTAAAGTTCCGTTTATATTAAATTGCCAGACTTGTATTGTGTAAATTTTTCTTTTTTGTGTGTATATGATTACACGAGATTAGCGAGCCCAACCTGAATTTCCATATTGTGTAACTTGTTTGTGATTGTATTAAGGGGAGAGACCCAGCCTGAATTTTTAGATGTATTAGAAGTCCATGAAGTTGGAATCTGGGTTAATCTTATCATGACTTGACTCCAGTTGAACAACTTGGCATTACACTGTAAAAGCTGTTAATCCAATAAGCATTTAACAATGGTGGGATTTAACTGAGCAGTCCGTGCCAGTCAGTGGATTAACTTAGGCCCCCTTTACACAGGGCTGCAACTTTTGTACCACCTATGAGCGACCAAAAAATGGCCAGGACACTCAATGGTCGCTTTAATCCAGAAAATCCTGTTTTTATATAACTGCTCCAGCTATCCTTGTTCCTCCCTTGAACCACCAAAACTGCAATTTTCGGGTATTTTCATGTCGAGCTACGAGCGACATGTGCGTCCACTGAGCCACTTGCCTGCCTCCCCTGTGCAACCTACGGCAACCAACACCGAATGGATGCACAGCAGTCACCACAGTCATCGTTCCATGCACGCTATTGTTCGGCCAAAGGAGGCACAAGGGAGGCAGAAGCATATCGCCCAAATTGACGGTAACATTTGCAACAGAACGGATCTATTACGCGGCGACCATTGGCCGACCATTGTGCATCCATTCTGCAACCACGGCAATGCTTGTGCCTCCCTTCTGCCTCATTTGAGCCACCTTTGAGCAACCAACCTCCTCAGCGATCTTTGTGCGACTGTTTTGAACATGTTCAAAAATTTACGGCGACCATGGCGTCCATGGCGATGTCTGAACATCCTGTGTACCACCTTTGAAAGACCTAGGCAACCATTCGGCCTCCTTTGAGCCTCCAACAGCGACCTGGCCAGTTTTATGGTCGCACAAGGGAGGCCCAAAGGTCACAGCCCTGTGTAAAGGGGGTCTTAACATGGTCTCAGGTTTTGAAATACTTTTGCACTATCAATCTTGGGTATAAAATCCAGATTAGGGCGTTGGCTAGGCACTTGGAGGCAAGACCAGGACCAACATTTCGTCAGGGTATTTTGTGCCCGTGCGTACCCACATTGGGGAGTAGGTTCTTAGTGAACTGAGTTTGCAATTTGTTTGTGCCGTTGAGAAAGAGTCCCACAGAGTCAGTAGGCTGCGGCCATTTTCGTCACCGTCAATGAAATGTAGACCAATTTATTTGCCATAACCTGCAAGTACTATTTCTTTGCAGCTTTCAATTTAAAATTTAACACTGAAAATTTGTATTTGTATAACTGTTGTATAACGTTGGAAATGTGCATTTGCAGTAATGCATTGTTTGGGTTTGTGTGCATATTATGTACCTTGCATTTTATACTCTATAACTGAACTTGAACTGCTATGGATGGTGCATGTAATAATCTTGTGTAGTAGTTGCATTACTGGTGACAATTTGTACTTAATTTGAAAACCAGGGTTTTATGGTGTAACGTCTAGTGTGGCAAACTCCGCAGTGAGACAGACATCCATGGCGGGCCAAACTCAAGTCGACTATCGACCAGTAGGATCATCAGCCAGGTCCCACATGGGCAGAGGACGCTATGGACCAAGACGGTACTACCAGGGCAGGCACCGGTCCACCACAATCACACCCACGACATGACCACTTGGCATGGACAAACAAGGAACCCTTGATTTGGGCCCACCTTCGTTAATTGTTTTTGTAATGTATTAATTGATGTATTTATTTAGTTACTTCGTAGGGTGAAATTAAAGTGTATGTTAATATTTTGGTGATATTGTGAATTAAATTAATCTTGGAATTGTACACTGATCTGTGCTTCTTTCATTTTGTCTGAGTTGAGTCTTTTACCATAAAGTCTAATCAAAAGTACCATTCCTGGGTCCTTGTGTTTGAGGGGGATCTTGTAACAACATACATGCAAAACTATTTCATTGTTCTGTGTCCCAGTTGCCTTGCACATGGCTTTCAAACCTTAGCCTTACTCTGGCTACAGCTTCAGTGTTTTTAGGCCCCTGATTTGGGGGACTCTAGCTTTTATTTTCTACTTCAGGAACATCAAATCCTGTAACATTAGGCCAAACTTAGGGCCGTGACACACGAGACAATTCACAGGCAGCTTTGTTCCGGGCAATCTCCAAGAAGAAGAAGAAGAAAGGAAAATTTTAATTCCATGTAATGTTATTAGGAATTTGCATAAACTGTTGGAAAAACGTCCTTTGTTCATCATCGGGGTTCCTTTAGCTTGTAGTCTATTGTGTTGCCTCCAAGTTGCCTGTGAAAATTGCCTCTTGTGTCTTGGCCCTAATTGAAGTATTTCTGACTTACTGTTATCCATGTTGAATCGTGTGGACATCTGATGGCCCCACCAACCAGCCAGTCTATAACAAATTATAATCAACAAACAGAAAATAGCAAAATCGCAAATCTTGACTTTCAAAGGCAGAATATATTTTTCTAGATACCGTAGTCATTTCAGGGGAAGAATGTTGCAACCTGACGCTGCTTTTTTCTTCATATATCATCTCAATGAAAGTCAGTCTTTGCAAAAATGATGATAAGACATGAATCTGGGACTGAGAAACATTTCAAATTTGATAGGAAATCTCCATAGACGTCGTAAACAACCGCAGAAGTAACGTCAGGTTGCCCGAAATAGCATCAGGTAGTAACATTCTTTCTCATTTCAGTTTACTAGCAGTACGACATGCCGCACGGGGGATTAGTACATGTATTACATGCATCTAGCGCTTACCTTGGGTGGTTATTGACGGCATGCATCTCGTGAAGGAAGGCCCCTGCTATGGCACCAGCACCAGAATTCAGATACTGTACAGTCAATAAACACAATGCAATCAATAACAATGACACTGGATAATAAAACAAAAAGATACACAGGTGACATGTGATCCATCCACACAAATTGACCTATCGCCATTTGCGAGTAAGCCACACCCCTTAGACAACCATATGGAGTTTTTGTACATTAAGTTTTGTTTGTCTCAGATTTTGCCCGTTCCGCGTCCATTTGTATATATCATTTAATTGGACAATATTTCACAAGCTGCATTGACACTATTCTAACGCGATTCTACCGCGATAGGTCAATTACGGATTTGAAAAAGGTACATGGTCAGACTTCAAATGATATCAAACTCAATACATTCCTACATCTACATGTATGTATTTGGGTACATTTATTAAGCACACATATCTACCATTATTGGTACTCAAGGCTAAACACCACTATAACCCCTGTTCGTTGGGCCAATACAATCTCAGCTCCCTGCAGTATACAGCTCGATGCTGCCATTTCGGCGTAATGCAGCTAAAATCAATCACAATAACCACCTCTGCCCTCACAGGTACCCACTGACTCCTGGGTGGGGAGAAGCAACGAGTGACAAAGTGCCTTGCCCAAGGGCACACGCACCATGACCCCAGGCTGGACTCGAACCCACAACCTGCAGAATTACCTGCAGACCACGAGTGCAACTACAGGCTAGTTTGGAAACATTCTTAATGTTTCAAAACTGCAGGACAATACTAAACTCTTCGTTTGTGAATGTCTTCTACGTGATTGTTTCAGCTTTACACGAAGTAGCGTGAGTTCTTAAACATTGAAATTAAAGTGTTTCCAGCTGTTCCTGAGTTTGTACATTCATTGTCATTAACTGCGAATATCGTAACAGGCAGAACTCCCAGCAGAATACGCCAAGCATTCTAAGTTTTCAGAAACTCCCTGACAGAAGGAAAGCCTAGATGTAGGGTCTCATCTTACCTTGTATGTACACCATGCAGCAAAGTCTACATTCCAATCATGTAGCTGCATCTCTATATTACCCACAGCGTGAGCCAAGTCAAAGCCAACAAGGCATCCCTGCAAAGAATACACATCAAATCACTGTTTGTACAAAATACTGAAAAACTTTAAAGTTTTGTACACAGTGTATATATACTCCGCTCTTTATTTAAAGCTATAGTCCATCATTTGCAACTATCCAAAAAGTAACTGACGTAATTATTGTTGACAAACATACTTGGTTGAAAGATAGTAAGGGGACTAAACTCTCTCTGGCAAGCTGTCATTTTGAAGAAATCAATGAAAGAACGGTGCGTCTTAAGACGCACTGTTGGAAATTTCCGTTAGTAGTTCGGTTTTTTTTTATTCGGCGAAGCACGCTGAATTCAGGCCCAATTCAAAACATGATTCAGCAACTTTTGATTTAAAATCGAGATCCTAGAATGCTGTTTATCTCAAAATATACAGCTGAAGCTGAGCTGAAACTTCATCAGGTTAGTTGTTCAGCACCCTTCTTTAGATGGTTAACACTTTTGTTGCTTCAAACGAACAAAATGCACAAATTACAAATGATGGACTATACCTTTAAAGATGGTGCAAATTTCAGAAACAACTTTTTTTTGTGAGGCATTAATTTTGAACACTACACGACAACATGCATGTATGTAAATGTATCTCTGTATCTTGCACACGGCCACTACTTTTCGCGTTGTATGAAATACGAAAAACGTGATAAAAATCTGTTTCACGAAGTGACGAGTATCTTGGGAACTGAATTTCTCAAAAAGTAAGCAACTCAGATGCACACTGATTGCATACAACACAGAATAATCTATAATTAACTGGCAAAAAAACTGAAACAATACAAGGAGTATATGGTGAGCTTACAAAATAATGACCATCTTTAAATCGTTTCTCTCAAAACACAAAACAAATGTGATACGTCGGTTCGTGGATTTTACAGGAATCAGACAAAACAGTTGATGCACAGCTCATCCTAGGAAGATTTGTTCATCAGCTTGTGATGATAAATGATGTATTACAAATATGACTACTGACCTTTCTATGTCCAGCCTCAGTAATAGCCTTCATATCAAAGACTTGCCCTGTGTAGTACTGAATCCCTGGTAGCAAGATGACTGCAATGCTGTCACCTTCACGATCTATCAAATCTAAGACGTCAGACATCCGTAGACAATGCTCCCCCTACAACAGGAAACAAGGACTGCATCCTAACCCATTACAACTACCTCCAGGTCTAACTAGCCTTCTTGCACTTAAAGGGAATAAACAACATTTGCTTCTGCTGTAATTTTCAGAAATGGATGGATTGTGGGGGGGGGTATTATTTCATAGCAAATATTGGTACACTGATGTTTGAAATTTTGTGTTTGTTGACGCTGGAAACACCAAAAAAAAAACAATCATGTTCTTGTAGTCTGGCTCCCTGACCCCACATAAGATGAAAGAGAGAATTTATAGACGTCAGGGAATTGTATGGTAAGGGAATCAGTCTAGCCGGCTTGTACCCATAAACCAGTGTGTAATCGATTCCTAAGAATATAAAGAAAACATTACAGAACTGAGCCCAATGCATTTTCTCGAACCTCAGTTTCTGAGGTTCAAGCCTTATGAAGCATGTAGTGCCTGCAGCGGATTACCTGATGTTTTAGCATGTTTAGACTGATAAGAGCCTACCTGTGGTCAGCTGTAACTGATCCACTAGCTAAGAGCAGTGACTTGCAGGTCGTGGTCAGTGTAGGTGTTACCGGATGCCAGTGTCCGACCATCCATATGATGCTATTATGTAATCACTTCTGCACTACATGTAGGATAGCATGTACATTGTGTATGTACAATGAAGCTGTGTGATTCAGGTGGCTGAAGCATAGAGCAAGGAACAATTTTACTTGGAGCATTCTTTGATGCTTGGAGCATGCTTGGAGCATGCTTGGAGCATGCTTGGAGCATGCTTGGAGCATGCTTGGAGCATGCTTGGAGCATGCTTGGAGCATGCTTGGAGCATGCTTGGAGCATGCTTGGAGCATGCTTGGAGCATGCTTGGAGCATGCTTGGAGCAAGGATAGCGATCATGGTTAGCATTGGTTAGGAAATATAATCAAGATCGAGACGACTTTGACGTGAAATTATATGAACTTTGGGATTATTTTTCGCGTGCTTGTCTGAACACTTTAACTGGCCAACCAAATGCTATTAATGGGCGAGTAAAAAAAAAAGCGGAGGCAAACCCCCAAAATTAAAGTTTATATTTAAAACAATATAGTACCTAAATAATAATGACTGGAAAGCCAATTTCATAAGCTATTGTTAGAAGAAAAAATACTGAAATTGCTCAATCCGTTCAGAGAATATCAACATTTTAACGCAATGACCCTAAAACCTGTTTCGTCACACACACAAAAAGACAATTTATTGTGTATTCTGACTGTTTGGAACAACAAAGAAATTGACTCAGAATACTTGTTCCAACAACTGCCAACAACTGTAGTATACAATGTCTTTATTTACAACCCTGGTTAGGCAAACAATACGATTTATAAAATCTTTTTTTCTTGTTTTTAAGACTGGCCTTTAAGGGGCTTTGTCTCGGAATATGTTTAACTTTTAAACTGGGGGGAGGGGAGTTAAAATGAGCTTTATATTGGACAATAAAATAACAGCATGTGGGATTGATGCATAATGTTAAGCAACTATTGCAAATATTGTAAAACTATTTCAACTACATGTACAGTGTGAAACAACATCTCTAACAGGCTTTACTGTTAGGCTTTACTATAAGGTGAATTAAATTAACACAGGACGCGGCGGAGCATAAACTTTCTCTGTACAAAGGGGCACATCTGGTATAAGAAATATCAAGAGGAGGTATTTTCAAAATCTTCAGGCAGTGCAGAATAGCTATAACATACACGTATAGCAGGGTTCACCGTGACACATCCCCAACCGTAAAAGGAGAGGGACAGGCTTTTATTGAAACAAGTCATGCTTTGCGCCAATTCCAGTGTAGTTTCGTTAATTAATAAAAAAGCTATTCATGTTTTACCTCTGCAAGTTTTTTCTCATAAAATCTCAGCAGACCGATAAATCCTTGCCATAAAAAAGCTATTGATGTTTTACCCGCTGCATTTTTTTCCTCATAAAATCTCAGTAGACCGATAAATCCTTGCCTAGCCCCAAACTTGCTATCTACCGAGCATAAACATAAAGATGCATTTGGTCTGTTAGTCTTTTACATGTATATTTGCCATTCCCTGTAACAAACAAATAACACTGCAAGTGCAAATATATCGAGAGCTACATTGTTTGGTGAGATAGAACTAAAGCGGCCCCTGGCCCTGTTGCCCCACGCCGTAATAAAACAAACATACACGAAGGAATTTACTAGTAAGAAAGCAGCCTTGCAACAATAATATTTACATGCGATGTCATGCATTATGATACAATTCTTTTTCCAGAATGAAATGGAACCAAAAATGGAGATAAAAATACAGCGTTCTCCACTTTTCAGTACAGTTAAACATTTTAAGAGCAACAGTATATTCTAAACAAAATAATGAAATAAATTGTCCTTATAATCTCAAAAAACTTTTGCTAAAATGAAAGTGGACAGGAATCACCCCCAGATTGCACCACAGAGCATCTATATTCCAAATTAAGCCACGACGTAAGGGCTTTGCGCTCCGCTTTCGCATTAATTTTGTCCGTCCTTTATTCCAGCACCCCATGGCAAACATTTGTTCCAGCGGCAGTGCAAGTTTGTCACAACTTTAATCATGCAAGGTCTGAACTGATTGCTTGATGTATCATGCTTTACCTAGATTGGGTATACTAGACCCACGCGTGTACAACTTTTTCATTTTTGTACAGTATTTGTATTTCACACTTTTAATGTTCATTGGCATATCAGTACCTCAATAAATCACATTATAGGAAGTTGTCAATAAATGCATTGAGTGTGTGATTCAGTGCAAAATACAAGAGAATCTACGGCAGCAGCTGAAATGAACTTTTCGTGTATTTTCTTTTTTTTTAATGTTTCTTATCAATTTTGTTGTATCCATTTGTTTAACCCTTACCCTACTTGACCCTCCAACGCATGCCAATATGTGCCTCAAGAAAATCTCCTATGTTTTTTACATGGCCCTCCAATATCTGCCATGTCATTTCAAGGGTAACTGGACAGGCACTCCAATACATGCCACAGAGAACAATGAGAGTCCTCTGATAACAAAGTGAGTGCCCCCAGCTGGTCAGTATCAGGCACCCTCCAGGGCCTCCAACTCCTGCCAATTGGAGCCTTCACTGTCAAGATAGTTTATCTGCCAATATACTGCAGCTGGAGGGCATTGGCATAACCAACTGACATGCAGTAAACTACCCTCAGAGAGTAAGGGTTAAAGGAAACGTGACAATGATACATCAAATCCAGTCGTCAGTTGTGTACGAAGTTTATAACGCAGAGCTAGCATGCTGTTGAACCTTCAAGTTGAGATAAACATCTAAATAATTGCTTCACACGGACATAATGCTGACCACGGGGAAAAGGGTCTGTGTGCAGCGTATTGTGTGTTGCGTAACTAATAATAACCACTCCTGAGTGGCAATAATGTCGGTTAGTCCTGGGCTCCACCCAGTGTAACGGATACCTACTTTATCTCAAATAAGAGCACAGAGGCGCTACATGTAATTACCAAAAAAATTGCTTTAGATTGGGCTCGGCTCTGTAATGATGCGTACTAACTAAATTGGGAGCAATTTTGAAAAAAATATATCAATTTTTCCCAACACTGGTCGGCCGACCTGTGTTGGAAATTGATGTTTGCAATTGTTGTATATTCCCTTTAAGAAAGCAATTGTCACAACATTATGATATCCAGAAGATGAATAAAAGAGTTTTTTATGTTTTTTCTCTTTTTTGAGGAGGGGGGGGGGTGTTTTTGTGAATACACTGTTTTTTTTCAAAGCCTATTTTTCAAAACAAAAACAGACAACATGAAATAAGCAGACATATGCAACAAAATACCCTAGAGAGGTCCATAATATACATTCTAATAAAAACGAAAGCTTTGAATGGCATGCCATTTCCTATAAAAAAAACCCAGTCATTGACAGACTATGTCTTTGCAGAGGTTTAGACAAAGCTCCTCATTACAGTTCCAATTATTGTTATATACAGTAACCGACATACAGATCCTTGTCATTTGATTGGTGGAACTCACATCACGTGACATTCGTTATTGCTCCCATTCACGCCGCGGCTCAAAAAGTACTATCCGCCCATGGGGAATGGGAAATACTATTGAACAGTTAGTATCATTCTTGTTCCATTACGTGGTATTTGTGTGCAAATGCATGCTGGTGTGCGCGTTCAGCATTGCGCGTAGGGTGTATTGTTCCAAAGAGCCAGCGCTACAGCGTTGGGTTCAAGCATTTTCGTGAAGGGGTGGTTTGGAAGAGAGAAATACATTTTCCTCCAGTTTTGTATTGAAATAAAAGTTCATATATATCAAATGACAAGGATCTATATGTCAGTTATATAAAACAAATATTGAGTGGCTTTAAATTGTGAGTTGGGAGGAATATTATCGCTCGGTAAAATCTGGACGTTTCCAGTTCACTCGGCTTTGCCTCGTGAAATGGAAAAGTCCAGATTTAACCTTGCGATAATACATGTATTCCTCCCATTCCATGCTGAGCCACTCAATATTTGTATACCAACACTAAGCCTGTTCGATATCCATTTATTTTTAAATCGGCATATCGTGAAAAAATATCGGATATCGCGATATTATCGTGATGACATAATTTTTCCATTCATGGAACAATGGAATAACAAAAAAAACACAAAAAAAAAAACCACGACCGAAGTCACGATCCAGTGCCGCGAAAAAAAAACAATATGTCCTGAACAAAATCGTCAATTTTATTTGACTAGAGTCTCATTTACTTTGCCAATTTAAGTAGAAAACAAATTCCACATTCAAATATCGAAAAAAAATTACCTTGAAATGTTGGATACAAATGTGCAAATAGAAATCCTATCTCTAGGAAAGAACGAAGCACTAGCACGCAATGCATGCCGCATTGATCCCCACGTGCACTCACAGTAAGACCGTGTACAGCCCACACCATTTGCAGCAAGGGTGTGCTTCATTGAAAACAATTTACCAGTATTTCCACCTTTTCAGAATTACAAATAATATTTTTTTTAATGGAGTCCGAAATATTTCCTGGTTCAGAAAAAGTTCTTCATCGTTACAAACTAACAAAATATTTTTTTTTCTAAAGATTTTTTTCGAAAAACGATGTTAACTCCGATGTTTCTTCCCCCAAACGACATCCGCAATACGCTATGGCGTTTTGGACTATACTTTTCTAAAAACATGAGAAGAAAATCAAAAATATAAATATATGAAATTCGGACTTTATTTCCCTTTTTAAAAAAATCCTCCCAAGCCTCAGGTTAGAAAATGAAAAAAAAAAAAAATTCATGTGCAATACCGTGAATCGAACCTGCAACCTCGCGATGTAAAACACAAAATTTTTATTGACTGAGCTGTCGCACTGCTCGCCTCAATTAAGGGAAACTAATAAATATTTGGTGCGCACGTATCATAAAAGTATCGTAGAGGGCGTTTAACGTGCGTATGCGGATGTCGTTTTGGCTGGAAAAAGAAAATTTGCGGTCCCGGTGTGTCTCCTCTGGCCGCGCACCGAAACGAAACATTCACTTCTCAACGTCATCATCTACAATTCAAGTATTTGCGGTGTTTTGTCTGTCTGTACAACTTCACATTTCCGTCAAAATAAAACAGGCACCGTATTTTCTTTGCGAAATGTCAGAGACTTTGTTTCCCTTCGGTTAACTACGCACGTGATTACGATTTCGGCACTTGGTATGTGGGGTGAAATTGTTGTCTGTACTGCCACGTGGAAGACGCAAAATCCAATACACGTGACGTTTAATAGTCAGTTCGTTCCGCCCCTGAATAGGTAAGACCTCGCGGTACAATGCGGTAACAGTGAATTTGTGGTTTGCGGTTTTTCATGGGAGCGCTTTAGCGACAGTTTTAAAACTCAAGGGGTTGACTATATGGTTACATAAGCGATACTACAAAAGAATATCGCGATATTTTTCGGCATATCGAATTCCACGATGTGCCGATTTTTTTTATGAGATCGATACGATTTCCGATATGAAAATCAAATCAAAATATCGTGAAATATCGTCATACCGAACAGGCTTAACCAACACATTAAGCAATGCATGCCTATTTATAGATCCACTCCATCAATGGTTGCCTTACCTCTCTAGGCTTTGCAAGTACCAGGCTGGTCTTGGGATCGTAACCATGCAAACTTATCTGAGATTCAGCAACATACTGTACAAAATAATAATAAACGGCAAATTAGGAAAATCTAATTTTACAATAAATAAAGTACATATAAAATAACATTCATATCAATTGATATTTATATTAACCCATCATAACAAAAAGTTCACAGAAAACGTGTATACAGTCATTTCTAGTATTTACAAAGTACTTTCACTTTGTTTAATTCTGTATAACATTTCATTTCCAGTAGACCTCTTGATATTATGAAACGCATGAAACGCATATGAGTAATTCAAATGGATAACTTGGGCTTCAAATTTCAAATTTCATGAATCTCAATAAATGTCCATAATGAATCAACATGTAATAAAAATATTGACTCTTCATCTACAACACTTTATTTAAAATGATACATTGAGAAACATTCAATGTTACATCATTTTCAAAACATCAAGGTTTCTCTTAGGGTTCTTGTGTCACTTTGCTCGCCATTGTCCAAAACTAATAACGCACTATCATTTGTAAGCCAGACTCCGTGATCCCTAGGAGAAGTGCACGATTGTCCAATAGCAAGCCCTCTACACACCCCCTACATCAGCGTATTGACACATCAAATGTATAGGTTTGATGCTATTAAGCAACATTTAGACCCATTTGTAATGGATTGTAACACACCTTCTGAAGAAAGTGACCCACCCATGACGCACTCAGTCAACTGTCTGACACACCAAATTGTGACGACATACCCCCTGCTTCACAGCTGTAAAGGACATGTGGAGTGTCATGGCCTAGCGGTTAAGAGCACCGGACTCATGCTCTGGCGTTTCAGAGGCAACAGTGGCGTGGGTTCGAGCCCGGGTCTGGACACTTGTGCCCTTAAGCAATGCACTTGACCATTTTTGCTTCGTTCTTCAGATGGGACGTTAAGCCGGAGGTCCCGTGTGTTGTATAAGGCTTAACAAACATAAAAGAACCCAGTAAAACTTATCGCTAAGAGAAAGGGTTTGCCCCGGTGTTCTGGCCTCCTAGTTATACTCCCTTGTGGAAGTCCTTAGGAGAAGAACCAACTACGTACCAAGTACCAAGCACCTACAATGCAAGATGCCAAGGGGGTCACAGATACATCTTACCATTAACAGGTGCTAATCAGATGATACAATCACAGTCATTGTTTTGCACTTCTGCTATTTTATAATCATTGTACATGGCCTGCGCAAGAGCAAAATAAGGCTGGTCTTTTCACAGTACCTATGAAATAGCTCACATGCATCAAGTCTTGTTCATGCCTTTGTTCAAAACGTAAGACTATTTCTACACAGTTTAATAAGCTGTCAGATCTTGACCATCCACTAGCATGACCAAAGACAACCTGGGAATCTCCTACAGACTGATATTGTGAACCAATGAATTGTGTGCACATATATCACTTACATGATCAGATGGGAAAGCATGTTCTTCAATGAGGATTTTATGTCGTTCCTTGGTTGGTCGGTAGAAGGAGACCTGCGGTTCAATAATACACAGAGCTCTGTTAAACTTAACAAAACACAACAAGGTTTGCGTGCAACTTGTGGATTTAAACCCAAAGATCTACATGTACATCTACATGCAGCAATCCTTATAGGGTATTCATAAATACCTAAGACATGGCCAGTGTTTAAATGGTTGATAAAGACCGGCTGGCTCAACTTAAGCACTATTCAGACTCCTCAAATTTGGACTCCTATGAAATCCAGTGCCTTTGACCGTTTTATTGGTTGAACGTTCACAATCCTCACGTAGGCATGCTGAATACTACAAGTGACACAGTATTTCATAGTCCTAAATTCACACAACACCAGCACAGCTGCGTTCTGCGCCACATCGTGCCAATCTCCATATAGGGAGTTGTTTACCACTTTTTGCAAGAGGGACATTCCTAAAGCTAAAGGGATGTTTCGAAAAACTTGAAGTAAACTTGTTGAACAAAATCGTTACTAAATAAGTTTTCACTTTTGGGACCGAAAAATGTAATTTTTTTTACCGAAAAGGTACACGCTTGGCCGGTATTAAACACTGTTTAAGACTGGTTGGAGTCTGGATGCTGATAATTACCATCCAGACTCCTACCAGTCTTAAACATTGTGTTTAAAACCACCCAAGCACATGTTTACTCCCTTATTAGTGAGGTACATTAGTAACAAAAATGCTAAGGATCGTTACACAGTGGACAAAAGCACCATTTTTTCACCAAAGCATCTCCATGGTATACCTTTTCGAAAAAAAGATGGACGCAAAAAATTGGATGATGGAAAGGGCATGTATGACGTCATTATGACGTCATCAGCTAATTATTACATGAACAAATATAAATTAATAATAATCCTCAGAACTGCAAGCATCTCAACAACAAATTTGGTATCAAATTAAAGGGGACAACAAGATCTTTCATTTGAGTGGTATGTCATTGGGATGGAATATAGTTCAGGGTGATTTTGTTGGTCAAAAAAACCTTTTTTGGTCAAAAGACCTGTTTTTCGGCTAAAATCATGGATTTTGGGTAGTCACTTTGACACCTGGTTTTAACATGCAAACAGTATGTGGTATTGTGAGATGTTGTTTTTAAGTCAGAGAGAAAGGCTCAAATTCTATGCCAAAAGATTTTTTGTAATTGATTATTAGTATCTTAAATGTTTAAACTTGTTCCAAAGATAAGCGGAAAAGTGAGGTACCTTAGTGATAAAATCGTGACACGGGTGGACAAAAGCACCATTTTCACACCAAAGCATCTCCATTATTTAACTTTTCGAAAACAAGGTAGGATACAAAAATTGGATGATGGGAAGGGCCATTTATTACATCATTATGACGTCATCGGCTAATTATTACACACTTATACATTAAAATTGAGATATTAGTTAGGAATAAGCCATGGATCGTTTTTTTTTTTACATTTAATATACGTTTCTGAGATCAAGGAAAGCAGTGCAATTACCAATTTTGTTCTTAGTTCTTTAAAAGATTTAAATACAAATAGTTTGATAAAATGAGGGATGTTTTCTAATTTAATGTATTATATTAAACATGTATGTACATGTACATTTGACTCTCGCTCCTATCCCCTGTTGTGATCAATGATTCGTTAAAATGCAATGTCTTACGTCATGATTATCTCATAAATGATTACCTCAGGAATGATGCCACGAGGCATTATTTTCCACAAAAGTTTCTACTGTCCCTTCGGCTCCGTATTCTACATCAACTGGCAATGCATTTATTGCCCTAAACCCTTCAACATTAGCCAGGAATTGAGCATATACTTCTCCGGCGTTACAATTTAAACCTTTCTGTGGACAACGTAGTTTTTCTGGTGTAGTTTGCATGCAGATAATGCAAGCAGTCCAATCCATGATGACTGTCCTGAAATACGATAGTAACAGTTTACATAAGCAATAAAAAGGTAGAATGTTCAAACCAATTATACGTTCGAATGTTGCAAAATAATACGTTTTGTGGAAGTTTGTAAACTTGCAAAGGTATATTTTATGCAAGATGAATTATATCTACAATTTCTGCAAAGACTTATGTTCATTTTCACAAAAATCTCTAATAATTAATAAACAAGACTACAGATGAAGCTTATTTAAAGATTATTTATTTGCACGATCTCAGTCGCAATCCAGCTTTGTGGAAACAAGAAAGGATAAACTACTCACACAGTGGACCTTCAGAGATGCTCTGCCCGTGTCACACAGAAGATGATGTCTGATGGATACTTTAATAGGATAGACGGTCCATCAACGACAAGGATGGTGTATTTATTCGAGAAACACACTTGTGCTTGTGCATCATGGATAATTGTTTGTCTTTTTCACGTCCCAAACTAAAAACCTTTACAAACTGCAGGACATGACTTGCTGCACTGGTATTGTGTTTGTAATGGTTACAGCCCGATAGTACGAAGGTTCTCTAGTCCGAAGGGTCATTAGTCCAAAGGTTCGTTAGTCCGAAGGTTCAATAGTCCAAAGGTTCGTTAGTCCGAAGGTTCAATAGTCCGAAGGTTCGATAATCCGAAGGTTCGATGGTCCGAAGGTCCCATTAGTCCGAACATAGAATACGGTTAATTAATCCGAAGGTTCGATAGTCCGAATAGACGATACCGTTCGATAGTCCGAATTGAGAAAAAGGTTCGATAGTCCGAATTGAGAATAAGGTTCGATTGTCCGAATGGGCAATACGGTTCGTCAGTATGACTCTTCGGACTATCGGACCTTACTGTTGATTCGGACTATCGGACCTTACTGTCGATTCGGACCTTACTGTCGATTCGGACCATCGGACCATCATAGAGTCTTTTCGGACTATCGAACCTTATTGTCAATTCGGACTATCGAACCTTCGGACTATTGAATCTTATTTTCAAGCCCGCTGGAACAAAGTTTTGCCAGGGGGTGCTGGAATTTCTGAAGGACGGACAAAATTAATGCGAACGCGGAGCACAAAGCCCTTACGGCGTGGCTTAAAGGGCCCCTAAAAGCTTTGGAATATGGATGCTCTGTGGTGCAATATGAGGCGATTCCTGGCCACTTTCATATGACTTTTTTAGCAAAGGGTTTTTTGAGATTATAAAGAAAATTTATTTTACTTTTTTGTTTAGAATATACTGTTGCTCTTATGACGTTTCTACTGTACTGAAAAGTCGAAAACCCTGTATTTTTTATCTCCATTCTTTGTTCCATTTAATTCTGGACAAAGAATTGTATCATTATGCATGACATCGCACGTAAATATTATTGTTGCTAGGCTGCTTTCTTACATTTAGTAAATTCCGTCATGTATGTTTTTTTTCCCCGAGCCCTTACGGTGTGAGGCCACAGGGCCAGGGGCCTGCTTTAAGGCCCCTGAAAATGTTGGATTCTGGATGCACTGTGATGAAATATACTGAAGTATATACTTAAACTTATAAAACCCGAAAAGGTGTTTTTTGGTTCAAGTTAAAACAAAATGGTTCCACTGGAAGCGGGTGAATTTCTGTTCATAAAAATATTCACATAGGCCTAAACGATGTAGCTCTTGATATATTTGCAGTGTTATTTGTTTGTTACAGGGAATGGCAAATATAAAAGACTAACAGACCAAATGCATCTTTATGTTTATGATCGGTAGGTGGCAAGTTTGCGGCTAGGCAAGGATTTATCGGTCTACTGAGTTTTTATGAGGAAAAACTTGCAAAGGGTAACACATGAATAGCTTTTTTATTAAAACGAAACTACACTGGAATTAGTTTCAATGGAAGCCCGTCCCACTCCTATTAGGTTGGGATGTGTGTGAACCTGGATATTTGTTAATGTTGAGTACAGAATGCTAGCAACGTCAATGAAACTTTTAAATGAAAAGAAAAACCTTCAGGGGAAAGGTATGAACTTTGCCCCTATTGAAAGAAAAACATCGTGGCAAGCATAATCAACTGTGCCACCATTGTCATGGAAAAGGTTATTTTTTCGGGTCAAAGCTTCCATAATGGCGGAAATATCATAGACATGTCATGATTTTAGATACATTGAGAGAAATATCGATTCTGCACTGCCTGAAAATTTAGAAAATACCTCCTCCTGATATTTTACAGTGTTACTTTGTGCTAGACGTTCGAAGCGCAAGCTAGCTAGCAACGTCAATGAAATTTTTAAATGAAAAGAAAAACCTTCAGGGGAAAGGTATGAACTTTGCCCCTATTGAAAGATCGAATGAAAAAAAATCGTGACAAGCATAATCAACTTTGCCACCATTGTCATGGAAAAGGTTATTTTTTTCGGGTCAAAGCTTCCATAATGGCGGAAATATCATAGACATGTCATGATTTTAGATACATTGAGAAAAATATCGATTCTGCACTGCCTGAAAATTTAGAAAATACCTCCTCCTGATATTTTACAGTGTTACTTTGTGCTAGACGTTCGAAGCGCCGCGCTAAGCCGCGGCAAAACTAGAAACGAACAAAACGAGGGAGATATTTTTAGAGCAAGCATAATGTATAGCGCAGCGGCGCAATTTCAACGTCGTAGAACACTGCTGGCTGGAACACATTTTTGCCCGGGAGTAGGGGGTGCTGAAGCATATTTCAGCACCCCAATCCAAAAAGTTGGGGGTGCTGCAGCACCCACAGCACCCCCCGTTCCCGCGGGCTTGTTATTTTCGTTTCGGACTGTTGAACCTTCGGACTGATTAACCTTATTCTAAATTCGGACTATCGAACCTTCGGATAAATAAACCTTCAGACTGATGAACCTTCGGATTAATGAACCTTCGGACTATTGCATCAAATGTTCGGATTAACGAACCTTATTTCATTTTCGGACAAACGAACCCCCCTTATGGAAATTTGGTGCATTTGAACTATCGAACCTTCGGACTAAAGAACCTTCGGACTATTGGACCTTCGGACTATCGAGCCCCCGTTTGTAATACATTGTTAAAAGACGTATCATCACCATTTCCGGCCACTCTGTTAATCTATTTCAGGTTACCACGTTCCTTTCTGTCTGGCTCCTAACCCATACCCGTAATATACAACACATATAAGAATGTTACGTCTTCCAGCTATAGTAAATGGTCAAAACAAATGGATGTGGTAAAGACCAAATTCAAGGAGCCGCACAATGTCACACAATTTATTTTCTGCGTGACAAATACCGTCATTGTAGCACTTTTGTCCATAATCAAAAATGCTTAGATTTTTCAAGAAAATTTGAAAATAGTGACGTCACTGCAACAGCAAATCAGCTTATTGTTACTTTTAAGTAACACTAAGCTGATTTGCTGTTGCAGTGACGTCACTATTTTCAAATGCCACTGATTATATCACTCTTCAATTCCCTGACCCTCAAAATGTCAATTTAATTACTTGGAATCTCATCACAACGCTTCACGACCTTATTTTCTACAATTAATTACTGTACGAACTTGGTAGTATATTGTGACGTCATTATTACGTCATAAAGTACCCTTCCTGTCATCTGATTTTTTACATCCTACCCTATTTTTGATCGTAACACATTGCCAAAGCTTTGGTGAACAAAAATGGTGCTTTTAAATACCATGTAACGATCCTTAGCATTTTTGTTACTAATGTAGTTCGCTATAAGATGCCTCACTTTTCCGCTTATCTTTGGAACAAGTTTAAACATATTTATGATACTAATAATCAATTACAAAAACTCTGGCATAGAATTTGAACTTTTCTCTCAAACTTAAAAACAACATCTCACAATACCACAAACTGTTTGCATGTTTAAACAAAGTGTCAATGTGACTACCCAAAATCCATGATTTTAGCCGAAAAACATGTCTTTTGACCAAAAAAGGTTTTTTTTGACCCACAAAATCACCCTGAACTATATTCCACCCCCATGACATACCACTCAAATGAAAGAGCTTGCTGTCCCCTTTAATTTGATACAACATTTGTTGTTGTAATGCTTGTAGTTCTGAAGATTATTATTAATTTATATTTTTTCATGTAATAATTAGCTGATGACGTCATAATGACGTCATACATGCTCTTCAAATCATCCAATTTTTTGCGTCCGTCTTTTTTTCGAAAAGGTATACCATGGAGATGCTTTGGTGAAAAAATGGTGCTTTTGTCCACTGTGTCACGATTTTTTCACTAAGGTACCTCACTATATTACATGTAGTGCCTAAGAACAAAGTTATAGCATTGCATGTGTGGTAGATGTTCCAATACAGAGGTCTAGGGTCAAATCTCATCCCTCAAATCAATAGCCCGATCCATTAAGGCCTGCCCCATAGAGCTATATTAAATTACTAGAGCGCTAACTCCTCATTCTTGCACGCGGAGACACTTTGAAGCCGCTCTGGGCGCAGACATTTTGAATTCATGTGCGTGTTTGTAGAACACAATGAAATTAGATGGATTGAATTTTGAAAGTGTACTCTAAATGCAACGCGCAAGTAGAACATACGCAAACAACTTTAGCGCGACATGACAGTTTTAAAAAAGTAGTCACGGTTAATCGTCTGCAGCGAATACGCGAACGCATTTGCGCTGTTTGTGTACAGCAAAATGAAAAGCTCATTTGCTGATCGTATGTTTCGGTTTTGGGCGTATCGGCTTTGATAACACACCTGTATAGAATACAAATGCAGATATGCAAATAGCAGTACAAAAGCCGTACAAAATTTTGAGTTTTCCATAGGTTTGTGCACAAACATGGATGCGCCCAGCAGGCATCACTTTGTACATGAGTCAGCGCTCTAGTAATTTAATATAGCTCTATGGCCTGCCCACAGTACTAAATGCTCCAGCAGCTGCTTTCGTCACATGAACATGAACATGTCAGACATTTGTTCACGCATGTCAGACTATTAAAGGGTCGTACTGTTTTTTATGAATCAAGGTCTTGATTTAAACTACAGGTCTCTCCTTTTTTGTTTGATAGTGGTCTTTATCAAATACATTTTTTTTTTCTGGTTTCCTTTATTATCAATCGATAATGGAAATATATATCTTTTTTAATTATAAGTGATTCTCACTATGTGTATGTACTGTATTTTTAATATTCATTCTAAAATCAATGTATGTAAGTTTCAATGACTAAAAAGTTTTTTAATGTTTTGTAATATGTATAGTTTTAGTGTTGTAATCAAGGGCCTACAGGGAGAACAGTTCTTAGATGGGGCTACCTTGGTAAAATAAAACGATAAATAACAATTTAAACTTCTTGTAGTGGGCTGTATGGTGTGGTTTATTGTTACTTTGTTTATAGAAAGTCCCCTCCTGGAGCTTTGAACAGTACTAATTACTCACCAGCAACATGTGTATATTGACTGACAGTCCATTCATAATAGCTACCTCTTTTTCATTGGCCCCTGCAAATTAAATAAAGGAAAATTATCTTGATAACGTGGACACACATGGGGCGACTTGGAGCTTATTTGACAGCACATCACAAGCAATCAGCATACATGTTTGTATAATGACATTTTTCAATACCTAAGACAGATTACCCATTCCTACTGGTCGAGAGCCCGTTTCACGTGGCCGGTCTTAAATGAATGATAAAGACATGGCTGGCTGGTCTTAAACACTTTTCCAGTGTCACATGAAATTGGACTCCTAAAAATCCAGTGCCTCTTACCGTTTTATTGGTTGAACGTTCACAATCCTCATGTAGGCATGTGCAATACTACCAGTGAGTCAGTATTTTTTAGTCCTAAATTCACAACGCAACACCAATGATGCATTCTGCACGATATCGCACAGTAGTGCAACGCACGCGCCAATCTCCATAAAAGGAGTTGTTTACATCTTATTCGCGAGCTGGACACTCCATTATTAAGCACATCATGGTTATGCTACTGAATGGCATCATGTGTAAAAGCTTATTTGCAAAATGAATTGATGCTAATTATTGATTGCAAAATAATTCCATGTTTATGAATACATTTATTGTATGAATGTACCTGTGTAGTGCATGTCTGCACATTTGTTATTCTTCATGAATGTTAAGATACAGAAGACAATGCTGTGGTAATTCGTTTACTTCTCTTACATGTCATCCGCATTCAAACCATATTTTATAACAGATACATTTCTTGTCCAGAAAACTGTTTTTATCTTCTATTACATGTATGTTTCTCTTCATTACATCTCAGTATAAATGGAAACTTAACAGACTGATCATTATTCCTTCATAAAGGCACACCTGCTTAGCTTTCAGAATGGTTTCTTTGAAATTAAAGTGTGTGCATGAATATGACGTTAGTACACGCATGTCATGAGATGAGGCAACCTACCCACAATCTTGGCCATTTTTGCCAGTATGAGTTCATCTGACATGGCCCATGGCATATGGCCAGCAAACTGTCCAAGGATGCCCCTGCAGTAGAGTAGAAAGTAGGAGGCAAGAAATGCATCAACAAATACGGCACTTCTAATCAAATGCAGACAGTTGACAAACTCACTACCTCACGGGAAAATCCCATGCACACTCATTCCAAAAGAAGGTTTTGATAGGAATATTGTGCCTGGCAGTTCAGCACTTAATCTAACACACCATCTGTTCCATTGTACATTATACAATTAATACAAACTACATGTATTAAAGCCAGAGTCCATCATTTGCAGTTATCCAAAAAGTAACTGGCGTAATCATTGTTGAATATTTATATTTGGTTGAAAGATAGTAAGGGGACTAAACTCCCTGTGAAATTATTCTTTCTGGCAAGCTGTCATTTTGAAGAAATCCAAAAAAGAAGGCCTTTCAAATTAGTAGCTCGTTTTGTTATTCGGCAAAGCGTGCACAAGCATTAGCATAACGCACACGCGTGCGCGGTTGCTGTAATTCGTCGGATCAGTGCGCGACATCGGATCAGTGCGCGACACCGCGTAGCTGCAATCTGCTCAGTGAGAACGTGTCTCGGACGCTGAATTCAGGCCAAATTCAAAACATGATTCAGCAACTTTTGATTTGAAATCGAGATCCTAGAATGCTGTTTGTCTCGAAATATACAGCTGAAACTAAGCTGAAACGTCATCAGGTTAGTTGTTCAGCACCCTTCTTTAGATCTTGATCACTTTTGTTGCTTCAAACGAACAAAATGCACAAATCACAAATGATGGACTATACCTTTAATTATACATGTGCATGTTGCTCACTCATGCAGACAATTGTATTGTGATAGTGATGCACTATAAGCACCCATCGCCAGCAAAATCATCATTCCTAAAGACTGTTTTGATAGGAATATTTTCGGTTACACCTCGATAGTCCGAAGTACCATTGGTCCGAATTCCCATTGGTCCGACGAAACATAATACTGTGTACATGGTGTAGTTCCACTGTAGACCAATGGGACGTCGGACCGATGGGACGTCGGACCAATGGGGCGTCGGACCAATGGGGCGTCGGACCAATGGGGCGTCGGACCAATGGGGCGTCGGACCAATGGGGCGTCGGACCAATGGGGCGTCGAACCAATGGGGCGTCGGACCAATGGGGCGTCGGACCAATGGGGCGTCGGACCAATGGGGCGTCGGACCAATGGGACGTCGGACCAATGGGACTTCGGACCAATGGGACGTCGGACCAATGGGACTTCGGACCAATGGGACGTCGGACCAATGGGACGTCGGACCAATGGGACGTCGGACCAATGGGACGTCGGACCAATGGTATTGTCCCTGGCAGTACAGCACTTAACCTAACATGCCTAACACACCATCTGTTCAATACATACATTATCAAATTAATACATACTTCATGTATTATACATGCGCATGTTGCTCACTCATGCAGACCATTTATTGTGATAGTTTATGCATTAAAGCAACCATTTCCAGTAAAAAAAAAAATGTCTCACAAGCTCAGAATGATTAAAGCCGTAAGTATTTTCAACTGTGCTTGCACACAATATTCCACAAGTTTCTTTTTCAGGAAAACCAGTTGGTCATAAAAATTCAAAATTAAAAAAATCAAGACTACTTCTTGTTCTGATCAACAACAAGTAAAAATGAAAACTTTAAACTGCACCAATTTTTTGAGTAATCTTTTACTCTTAACTTTAGTGAGAACAGTGTTTCCATCTTCTTTTTGACTGCATGAAACGATTCAGAATGTAACTTCAATGCCCCCATAAGTTGTGTGCATTTCCAAATATCCAGAAGTAAAGCAATACAAATCTGAATGTGCGTATGCTCCTATGGAAAACAGAGCTGCTTAATGACTACGTTGGGACATTAACTAACTCCCTACAAATGTAGGCCTTTTTGCTAGGATGTAGCCTCAATCCTGTATAATCATTCAATTGGCCTCAAGGAAATAAAGCATAAAGCCTCAATCCTGCGAATTCCTCCATTATTTCTTAAATATGGTCCGTGGAGGGGTGACCACTGCCTGAATCCTGCAAAATCCTGCGGCAGTGACTGTCAATATGTTGAGGCTTGGCCAGTGACATCCTGGAGCAGTACGGAGGATTTCAAACATAATCCAGGCCTATTTTTATGCACGGCTGAGCAAAAACAACACAGGGTCCGGCCCAAGACCTTGACAAAGTGCATGCTACGAAATCAGTAACGCACTTTTGCCATGTAACCTCAATCCTCCAAATTCCTCCACTTTAACAAAGAGGATTTTGAAGGATTCTGGGCGGTTAGGGTTAAAGAGAATCTTGTTAGAAACTACATCAGTTTATTTCAAGAACGTAAAAAAAACTGTTTTCTTACATATGTGCCCATTTGTCTAACTCCTGAGTCACAATTGCTCTGATGGCGTGTGGCATCAGACCCAGGGAGTTACCACACATGTAGATACCATCATCATCCATGTTGACGACAGACTCATCCGCTGCAAGATAAACAGTGTTTCTAAAAAAGTCATCAATCAACTCTAAACTGTCTCAGGTATTTATGAATAATTTGCATAATTTAGCATTTTTAATTCCAATACCCTTTAACAATTTGTATAAGTTGAGTGGTTTCGTGTGCCGAAATCCACATTTTTGTGGAAAGCCACTTTACACCTATGATTTGAGAGAATCCTTAAAAAATAATTTTTTTTTCAAATCTGCGAAATAAAAGCTAATCACTGTCTCGAAAAAAAATATATATCAATGCAAACACGCACATGATATTCATTAAAAGCTTTTACTTCAATGTCAATATTCGAATACTCAAATATTCAATCAAATGCAATTTCTAATATCAAATACTAAGTTATTTGAAAATGCACAGCAGTTTGGCCCAAGTGAGGTTACATGAAATGCGTGCAAAGTCAATGCTGGAATGATGTACACTGTACTATGTAGAAAAACAGTCATTGAACATGTTGAAAAACTATGCACTCAGTGTTTGAACAGAAGATTTTGCCTCCTCACCATTTATGTTCACACCACGTTTGGCCTTTGGTTCCCAAATAGTACGTACGATTTATTTGACTCTGAATGTGTACAAGTACTCATACTGCATCTTTCATTGAGCATCAATCACCGTTGGCAAATAAAACAGTTCCTCCAAATAGTCCCACGCAGCTTTTTCTTTGCAGTCTTTAATTAAGGAATATGCATAGAGTTCAGAGTACAATTTAGACAGAAGGAATGAAAAGCATGTTTGCCTGGGTGTACAACAGAGATGGCACTGATGTGTCTTATTACTTCAACTGTGATGTCTTGCATTTCTTTCGTAGCTAATGAGAGTATAACGACAAACAGAGCCAAAACTACATCTTATACATAACATACGTACATCTTGCAGCATTTGGGTTTAAGTCCCTTACCTGTTGGTATTGTGTTCATTCGTGGGATTTCAAACTCATCCCTGAGATGACGTAACGGATCAATGCGATCCATACACTTAGCAAATTGCTGGTCAGTTAATTGACAAGCAAAGCCTACTGCTTGTTGCAGCAGTTCCTGTACAGGGGCCGTGGGGGTGGATACTTCAGGATCCAGACGGGGAACCTTGACTGGGGGCTGCTCCTCAACAGCTTGGCAACTGTCTTCCTCTGATGACATGGTGAAATTCAGGAGTAGCAGGATAGGCAAATTCTGAAAACGTTCAGCAAAACAGAACCATGAACGGGCTTAGTACCAATGATACATCAGTTCCCATCTTCTTGATTAGCCATGGATAATTAAAACACATTAGTAAAAACAACTTTGGGCTGGTTAAACCCAGACAGGGCTCTTGAGTGCTCTGAAACGTGCAAAACTAAATCAGGCCCACTTTACTCACAGTTTAGCCAGCAAATTTCTCAAAAAATTCCACTGGGGCAAAGAAAATGTCCTCAGTATTTCACCAACCAAGTTTGCAGACTCAATTCAATTTTTAAAGGAGACTTTTCTTCAATATTTTGCACATGAGAGGGAAGTCAAGTGATTTCAAAATGGGGCTAAACACTAGACTGGTACATGTCCAAGCATGGCCCAACTATTTGAAAAGACTGACCTCTTCATTCAGTGTCAATAGTCTGGTGGCTTGACTATGGAGAAATGTGTAGTAAATTGAGACTAGTTCCCGCTTCATGCCACATGTTTCTTAAATTCTTTTGGCATGGTTGATTGATGCAGTACTGAAGCTGTGTTGGACTGGTTGTTTTACATTGTTTTAGGTGCCAGTCTATTTTCTTGTTTTGCATGTTTTCAATACCTTAAGTTTTGGTACTCTCAAACACAGTATTGAGAGTCCCAAATTTTCGGACTAGGTTAAACCAAATACTTCATATTAATCTGCCCATCCAGTTCCTATACTCCAGAATTAAATTCCGATTCCACTTGAAAAGAAGCCAAAGGAGAAAAACAAATCTAAACATACAAAAAAATGATGTACATGTATGTTGTGATGTGAACTGGGTCTACAGTCATGACAGTGAACATGGTTAATCACAGTGGGGAGTAGGTGTTGGTTTATGTATGTACCTGGATTTTGAACCTTACGCTTTCGTGAACATTGGCAGCAGAAAGTCGTCCGAATTCAACTCGAAAATACAAGATAACTAGAACACTGACGATGCAGAATTTAACGTTTTGTTGCTATAGTTGTAGACGGCATTATGTGAGTATAAAGTGCCGTATAAAGCGATAAAATAATTGCTATTTCAAATTGATTTTCGGCTCCCCTAGCAACGGACTGTCCAAGCACAGACCACATGTGGAGTAATTGCAGAATACCCTGCCACTCGGAAATACACCCTTAAAATCTCTGGCTTCGCAGTTGGAATCACTGGAAAAGAAACAGTCTAAAACCATTTCCGGCTACGCGGATACTGAGTGGGGGTCCATTTTTTGAGATCGAAGCAACACAAAAGGAATGGGAGTTGCTGAAAAAATGCTGAAAAGTCCAAACCAACCACACTGCTGCCGGCTACGCAGATACAGAGTGGGAGTGCAGTGGAGCATGTCGCATAGTACATACAAGTAGCACTGAGAAGGTTTATTGTGGGCAATCAACCGTGACTCTGTAGCCAGCTACGAGGTGGATAGATTGAGTGGCGGGGTATTCTGCAATTGTGCCGTCTACGCGTCTGACATTCAACTTCAAGCATACTCCTAGAACTGTCGGTTTTTTGGCAAAAATGATGAAAAATATGCCCTTTCCGCACTGAGCCAACCTGACACTTGAAAAGTGCACGCGCGCAGAATAATCGCAGTCATTTTCGGTTCAATCGCTCGGAGCGCGCCGCGGGACCGACGGGGGGTACGTACTTGCACTTGTACGCATGCCCATATTATCGTTCCGCTCCTACCGTACCCCCGAGCGATCAAACCGAAAATGACTGCGATCATTCTGCGTGCGTTCACGTTTCAAGTGTCAGGTTGGCTCAGTGCGGAAAGGGCATATTTTTCATCATTTTTGCCAAAAAAACGACAGAATCCACCGATGTTTGTTTGGTGCACATAAAACGTGAGTATATCATGAGGTATTGTACGGAGTTTAGGGGCAAACTGTGCAGCGGTTCTGTGGCAGTGTGGGAAATAGCTTGGTTGTGATGGACGTTTCTGAACTTAGTTGGTGTTTTGTCTAGGCAAACAGTTTTGCGGGGTAAGCTGCCTATACGTGGAGCCTCATATAGTTCTAGGAGTACTTCAAGCACACACTGTCAATCATGCACACATGACTGACTGCGCTGTGGCAGAAAATGTTCAATTTGTTTTCGACGTCCAACCTCTCCTGTCACGGAATGCTCGGCCCAGGTAATTCGTATGTGGGTCTGTCCACAGTAAATGTCACAATTGTGGGACATTGCTGGAGAAATTTGAACAACAAATTTCCCCCCTCTTTTTTGGTTTGTGTTTAACATCCATGTGTATGCTTGTTAACCAAGAAAGGCCAAGATAATTCAAACAGTATTTAAGAAGTTATGGCAAGTTAATCTTGAAGACATAACGTGTGTCACAGGGACAGACATATTTCTTCGCTTCATCCTAGTTCCACAAAATTACATATAATTCAATCACACTTGATATGGTGTCATTTACTACCCCAATGTTAATATTCAAGGAACTTTCAAAGAGACTGTAGTCTTTCTTCAGGATTTACAAGGTGGATGATGCAGAGAAAATCACGTTTGTCACTGGGACAGACAAAACAGCTTTAACGATTGGTTTGTTTCTCGAAGATGACCTTTTTCATCACACCAGAGTTGTAAGTGCCCTAAAAATCCTATGCAGATTTTGTTTACGTTGGCCAGTCAATCTGTGATAACCTGGAAGTGAGAAATACTGACATGTTTTTGATAACATGTTTGTTACATGGACAGACATTGGGCGTCATGTTTGTCACATGGACAGACAAAACAATTTCTTAGTTAATTTTTTTAGAAAATAAATTATAATTATAACATTAAAGGTTATTAGATAAGGCCCCTGTAAACTCCTATTTCCAATCTCTTAAGACTGATCTACCCACATAATTAAATTACCATGAATAAATGCTGACGTGTATTAAACATCACGTTTGTCACATGGACAGACATACTGTATTGTGTATAAAATTTCTAACTAGAAATAAAAATGTGACTGATAATTACCCAAACGTTTTAACTATTCTCTCAAGTTAATTTGTGATCATTTTATTTGCATCAAGACTACTTCAATAGATGAACAGCGTGTAATTTTGTTTCAATGAATCACGTTTGTCACAAGGACAGACTCATTTATCATGTTTGTCACATGGACAGACTTTTTGTGTTTTAAAGTCAAATTTAAGAATGAAAACAGTATTGATCATATATATGTAAGCCAATATTTTTCTAAATTAGTTTATAATAATCTTAATTACATAAAGACTTACTTTATTTTATATGAACACCATGTAGTTTTGTTTCAATGAGTAACGTTTGTTACATGGACAGACATGTGCATACACTATAGTATCACGTATGTCACCTTCTGGGAGCTGAGGACAGACGATCTTCTCAATCTCTGTTCAACAAAATGGACTGACTTCTAATAATAAAATAATGGCAGTTGTATTGCACATACCTTTGTTATCAATGTATGTGCACTCATAAGACTAGTCTTTAAAGATTTTTATGGTTGGCAAGAAATTAAATCATGTGACATACGTGATCAAAAATGGACAGACATTTGTATTTCTTTTACATGGATCCGTGTTTTTGTTTCTAAACTGAACAAAAAGCCACAAAAAAGTATATGCATTAAAGGTGAGCAGTTTCCTCAGCAACATGTACATTTTTTGTTGAAGTTAGCTGTTGATAACATGGAAAAAACAGCATGTATCACGTTTGTCACTCTGTGGACAGACGCCGTGACATACGTGATTGCTGAATTTTCTGCGTTTAAATTCCTGTTTAAACTAATTTTTAAAAAAATATAGAGCTTTTGATTTCAACTTATTTCTCATCTGTAACATTTTCAGTACCCATGAACTGTGTTTTTCCTCATTTTAATGCCTATTTTACATTTACCTGAAAAACATGAGTACACATAGTTATATACATGTCCCACCTGGACCCCCCAAAATAAGCTGGACATTTTTATCAAATTTCTCATTATTTCAACAACTAACATCCAAATCCTTTATTATTATGTACATGTACACTATATCTCTCCTATTGAATGACTACTACAATTATTGAAGTTTATTTCTTGACTTTTAAGTTTTAACATGGTTTAAATGAGAGCTATTTTTCATGTTGTGCAGTTGTGACATTTAGTGTGGACAGACCCATGTATTATCTTGACATGGTAAGTTACATTACAGGTGGGTTCAAATTTCTGAAAAGTCAAACAAAAATGTGAAATTTACCAGAATTTCGCTTTACCAAGATCGCAACGTCTCCACGCGCGCACATCCACTCGACCGTCTGTCACGTTTGCTGTCTATTGAGGGCGCTTTATTAACAAGGGTCCTCTCGATGGTCGATCCACTGTCCACCCAACCTCGTCCCCAGTGCTTACTTTATTTCCAACCGCGTTTCCAATAGTAAACCCTGGATAGGAAACTTTCTTCCTGTATCCTGATTGGATACCGCAATTGGCTAGTATAGTAATGGATTTTTATCGTGTACTTGGTGCTATATATTCACAACGTGCAGTACGTGTTTTCGCGATCATTCGTCCACGCCTTCTCGAAAATACTAATTTCCTTTTCAATTTGCTCATATTAATATGAAATATGATACTGCATGTTGTCTTGATAAGATCGTAACAGTTTGATTTCAAAAATCGTGTTTTCGTAACTCACGCCGTGCTCGCGCTGCTACGAATTGACTCTGTTTTTACCCCAGACACCGCATACAAAAACAAACGCTAATGTGTAACGCACATCCAGGCACCAGACTGTTCCTCATTTGCATACGTGTTCAAAAATCTTGCACATGCAAATGATCCAATACCAGGGTGAGAGAGCAGGTAGTGGTGGGCGCGTACTGCTCGACACCCTGGGGACGAGGTTGCTGTCCACCACTTTCGCTCGCGCGCGTACGGGTGCACTGAACCATGGACTGAACCATTTCAAGCCCCATTGAAAACAGTGTAAAATCAACAAAGTTCAGGGCCAAATAACATGCAAGCCGACATCACTGGGGTTTCTCAAACAAAAATTACATTATTGTCTTGTACTTCATCTTTTCATTTCTTTTCAATTTTGGGTAGACTAGCTGATTACAGATTTGAGGCTTTGCATGGTGGGGTATCGGTATCGTTTCGGTTTTGCGGTAACACCATGTGGTAATAACTACTGCTTAGAAGATATTAGTTCTGAGAAGAACTTGTCCTGCTTATTATCAACTTGCTAAGTAGTTTTTTTGTTCTGTTTAGAACAGTCCTAAGACTGTTCTAAACAGAACAAAAAAACTACTTAGCAAGTTGATAATAAGCAGGACAAGTTCTTCTCAGAACTAATATCTTCTAAGCAGTAGTTATTACCACATGGTGTTACCGCAAAACCGAAACGATAGCTGATTACAGTTTATATTCACACCATCATGACCATAGAGCTATATTACTAGAGCGCTAACTCGTCATTCTGAGCGCGGAGACACTTTGAAGCCGTCCTGGACGCAGACATTTTGAATTAATGTGCGTGTTTGTGGAACATAATGAAATCAGGAGCACCTTTTGGCGCTGTGACCGTAAACATGTTTCTGGTTCGCGGCCGTTTTGGCGCTTCGGTTACACTGAAATGACGTCATTGTTTCGACCAAAGTTGAACCGAGGTTTCCGGTCGGTTCACTTATGTTTCAAGATGGCGGAAAGGTAACAAGCTTAGCAGACGACGTTACTTACCATAAATGGGGTTTAAATAGTGGGTTTTTATCTTCAATTGGTACGAAAGTTGATACAGAATATCAGGCCTACTCTTTTTAGAACTTTAGGAAAACGCTATAAAAAAAAACTCCCACTTTTGCTTTGAATGTTATTGTTAATCATGTCCGGTCGCCGCGTTAATTTTTTTGAGTTGTGTGCAGTCACGTAGGCAGTAACATGACGTCATGAATAATTTTCCGGTCAGTCGTTTTCGCGGTGCACAGGAAACATGTTTCAGGTCACGGCTGTGACGTCAGAAACATGTTCCAGTTCAAGGGCCGCCAAAACGTGCTCTAGATGGATTGAATTTTGAAAGTGTTCTCTACACATGCAACGCGCAAGTAGAACATACGCAAACAACCTAGCGCGCGCGTCATTGCAGGTGTAGCGTGAATATCCGACTCCATGAAATGTGGACTCACTGGTAGTATTGCGCACGCGTGAGTACGATACTATGCTATATTTAGGATCGTATCGGGAGAGTAATGAGTGAGGGATCAATTAACCAATAATAGGGAAATAGGGGTCCAATTTTCACAGGAGTCGGATTTTCATTTGACACCGGTTCAAAAAAACGTGACGGCAAGCATCTATATCTGCAGCGAATACGCGCATGACACGCTCATTTGCTAATCGTGCGTTTCGGTTTTGGGCGTATATCGGCTTCGATAACACACCGGTATGGAATACAAACGCAGATATGCAAATAGCCGTACAAAAGCCGTACAAAATTGATAGTTCTCCATAGGTTTGTGTACAAACATGGATGCGCCCAGCAGGCATTACTTTGTACACGAAGTTAGCGCTCTAGTAATTTAAAACAGCTCTAATGATTCACACCAAAACAAAATCACCTCCCGAGCAGTGCTAGTTCCCAAGCCTGCATGTAGCCGTTTTACAAGTGGTATCCTTCCATTTTCTCAGGCAAATAGGACCCATTGTTCAACCGTAATTTTATCAAGCCTGCCCTCAGATGGAAGCCCAAAAACCAGGGAGTTGATCCTTGGCTACATTTACACAATTCCACCGCCGTTTTTAAAGCCAAACGGTCTCCGTTTTCAAAAGAAACCGGTCACTCTTTTTATGCTAATCAGCTCACATAGAAATTCTCACTTGAATGAGATCACTGCACACTTACGCCCTGCAAACAGGACGCTGGGATCAACCTCGTCCCCAGTGCTTACTTTATTTCCAACCGTGTTTCCAATAGTAAACCCTGGATAGTAAACTTTCTTCCTGTATCCTGATTCGATATCGCAATTGGCTATAGTAATGGATTTTTATCGTGTACTTGGTGTTGTTATTCACAACGTGCAGTACGTGTTTTCACGATCATTCGTCCACGCCTTCTCAAAAACATTCCTTTTCTTTTCCAATTTGTTCATATTAATATGAAATGTGATACTGCATCGTTTCGGTTTTTGCGGTAACACCATGTGGTAATAACTACTGCTTAGAAGATATTAGTTCTGAGAAGAACTTGTCCTGCTTATTATCAACTTGCTAAGTAGTTTTTGTTCTGTTTAGAACAGTGATACTGCATGTTGTCTCGATAAGATCGTAACAGTTTAATTAAATAAATCGCGTTTTTGTAACTCACGCTGTGCTCGCGCTGCGACGAATTGACTCTGTTTTTACCCCAGACACCGCATACAAAAACGAACGATAATGTAACACACATGCAGGCACCAGACTATTCCTCATTTGCATACGTGTTCAAAAATCTTGCACATGCAAATGATCCAATACCAGGGTGAGAGAGCAGGTAGTGATTGGCGCGTACTGTTCGACACCCTGGGGTCGAGGTTGTGCTGGGATACTCTGATGAGCTTCACTGAATCTTGTGAAGGAAGTGGCCTATGACCTATGTATAAAGCATCTGGCTGCAGCTGTTCAAGACCGCAGTTAGACAATGTGCGCAAATGCTATCCGAAAACTTCCCATAGAAATGCGCACATTCCATACCGGATGTGATTTTTGTTTCATTGCATCCCATGTCAACCTCGTCCCCAGTGCTCACTTTATTTCCAACCTTGTTTCCAATTGTAAACCCTGGATAGCAAACTTTCCTCCTGTATCCTGATTCGATACCGCAATTGGCTAGTAATGGATTTTTATCGTGTACTTGGTGTTATTATTCACAACGTACAGTACGTGTTTTCGCGATCATTCGTCCACGCCTTCTCGAAAATACTAATTTCCTTTCCAATTTGCTCATATTAATATTAAATATGATATTGCATGTTGTCTCGATAAGATCGTAACAGTTTAATTTTAAAAATCGTGTTTTCGTAACTCACGCCGTGCTCGCGCTGCGACGAATTGACTCTGTTTTTACCCCAGACACCGCATACAAAAACAAACGCTAATGTAACGCATATCCAGGCACCAGACTGTTGCTTATTTGCATACGTGTTCAAAAATCTTGCACATGCAAATGATCCAATACCAGGGTGAGAGAGCAGGTAGTGATGGGTGCGTACTGTTCGACACCCTGGGGACGAGGTTGATCCCATGTGGACAACATTTTGAGCGTCGCATAATGCAATCCGACCGTGATTCGAAATGGAGCCTGAGCAAGCGACGGGGATTGTAAATTTACCACATAGATAAGTTTTATATTACATAATTTCCTACATTATTACGCTTTTCGGCGACTTGCAGAGTCATGACCGTGATGATATGACGCGCAGGTCACTCGTCACGCAAAATCCAATTAACCAATCAGAGCGTGAATTCATCAGAGTATCCCAGCGTCCTGTTTGCAGGGCGCGGGGGGGGGGGGGGGTACGAGCCGTCCACCACTGCACTAGGGTCCTATTCGGGTTGCAACCCTGCATTAAAATTCCCATAGACACTAGTGCTTAATGCCCATACTTCAAAATTCTTTTAGAAATACTCAGAACTCTCACATGTATTTAAGCTGCACAGAAAAATGATAATCAACATGTCATCTTTCATTTTCTTTTCATATTTTGGTTGGTTGACTCTGTTGATTTTTCGAGATATCCTCAACCGCAAAGAAGACGACCCCAATTTTCCTCCCAGCGGAAAAGAAACCATCTTGAAAAACGGTCCCTCCACAACAAGGCAAAATATTTCCACTTTTGAGCCCAATTGCATCCAAAATTCTCAGAACTGGAAGCCCCAAGCTCGGACCAGAGGTTCATTGCCTTCAATTCCCCAAGTTTATGGCTCTCGGATCTCTCTGAGCTCGGTCGGTGGATGGGTTTAGACCTGTTTACCGGTGTGCAACCGGTAATGGCCAAGCATGCGTGCAGCCAAATTTACAAATGGCATTTTCTCGGGCAAATAGGACCCATTTTTCAACCGCATTTTTAGTCCCAAAATATAGGAGTTGATCCTCGGCTATACTGAACAATTCCACCGTGTTTTTTTTTTTAACCAGACTGTCTCTTTTTTTCAACAAACATTGTGGGGCACTTTTGATGGTTCATGAGCTCGCGGACCCGCCCTGCAACAGGACGCTCAGGGAAGGGCTGATGAATTCACGCTCTGATTAGATAGATTTTGCGTGACCTGTGACCTGGCCATGGGCGTCGCGAGGGGGGGGGGGGCAAGGGGGGCACTGCCCCCCCCCCCCCCCCCCCTGGAAAAGCAAAAAAAAAAAGGAAGACAAAAAAAAAAAAAAAAACAAAAAAGAGGCGCGAAGACAAAGTGGTGTAAATTTAATGAGTTGGGGGGGGGGGGCAAAATGTCCCTGCCCCCCTCTAAAACTGATAAATCGAGAATGTGTTGAGAAATACAAGCATTTTTTGGCAAGTCATCACGCGGCCACGTCTCGGCAAGGTTTAAAACGGCCATTAAGACTGATTCATTACTCTTTTATTCCAATTCATAAATGCTTTTGGTTTCGTTGAAAAGCGTTATAATGTAGGAAAATCTGTAAAACTTATCTGTGTTGTAAATTTGCGATTCCCGTCACTTGGCTAGTTTTTCAATGAGTGCTGATGCGGCCTAAATGGAGCGAGTCAGACTCTGTTGTGAAATTCTAGACATTTTTTTTCAAATACTATAAAGACCCGAGTGATTTGTGTAACAGTAAAACAATGCTTTTATCGTGGTTGCTTGAAATGATTTGAACAATTAACAATGTTATTGGGGTCGCATTGTGCACATACCTTGCGATTTTTCAGTACTACATTGATTTTCGTTTGTATATCTGACCTTTGGTGCCATTTAAGAGGTCAACGACCTTTTCATACATTATCAATAGCCATTTATCAGATTTACTCTTTGAAATGCCTCTTTTTCATTACCAAAGTCTAAATGTAAGGTCTCCATACATGCCTTGAATAAAATATGAGATGTGTTGAAATGTTACATTCTGACTTCAGAGGTCACTCACTCACTTAACGCGCTATGTCATTACCTAATTTATAAACATTGCACAGCCTATTAATATTAGCTATAATTAGATTTAATTGTTAAACATGACTTTTTCATAAGCTAGGTCGAAGTGTTCGGTTTGTCATGCCATGAAAAAAAATGTAAAATGTGGGGACATAATCACATTTTATAACTGACCTATAGAAATTTCAAAGTTTTACCCAATTTTGGTTACAAGTAATGGATCCAACGGATCACATCCACATTCTATTTTTGATTTTCCTTATATTTAACTGCCAATAAGACCGTGACTGCAAACTCATAAAATCTCTACTTATTAAAGAATGCATAATTATGTATGATTATATTCATCCAGTATAGGGCCCTCTCTGGTCGGTTTTCATGACGATTCAAGGCATTTTTAGAAAGATCAATATACGAACATATACCATGTCAAGTTTGACATAGAAAAGGTATGGCCATGTATCTGGAAGATTGACCTGACACCTACCATACCAACCCAAAGGCTAAGAATACCAGAACCTGGATTCAACAGAACGGTGTTTTGCTAAGTCTTATTCAAAATGTATATCATTTTCAATTTACCAAGACCAGTCTCAAATTAGCTCAACAGAAGTTGGATACTCATAACTGAGGTACTGTTTTATGATTTGGTGACTTTCAAGACGAAAAGTAAACTGTAATGTTAATGATGAGCAATTTTTTGGAAAATTTTCAAAATAAACGTGATATATTTTTTGTTTGACTGTAGCGCCCTCTATAGTTAATTTCCATGACAACCAAAGATATTTTTCAAAAGACATATTCATGAGGAATAATTGTGCTGAGTTTGATTAATATCAGTCAAGGTCTGCTCAGGTTATGGCGTTTTGTTTCGTCCCCGTCCAACCCTATAAGAAAATGCATCTATGCTCAATCATAGGCGGTTCCAAGAGTGGCCTCCTGAGAGAGTGCACCCCTAAATTTGCACTGTTAACATCTCTTTTTTTTTCTTTTAGGGACATGCCAAGGATTTTAAAAAAATATCGGTGGCGGTGGGTTCGGGGGGGGGGGGTGAACTTGGACCCCCATAGCCCACGGACTCGCAATACTATTGCGTTATTTCGCAATACTTTTGCGTTAATTCGCAAAACTATCGCGTTATTTTGCAGAAATATTGCGTTATTTCGTATTTTTTTTCACTTTTAATCCTGGCACAACCGGGTTTTGTAAGAAGCTTTCCAATGAGACATTGAACGACGAAATTGATCTACATTAGATATGCCGATATTAAAGTCGATAGTCACATCATGCACAACACACACTGACATAGACTTTATTCACGAGTCGGCCATATTAAATGGAAAGCGAGGTAAACTTTTTAAGTTTTTGAACTTGCGAATAAAATGACAACAATGAAATAAAGTTAATTTCAAATTAATACCAGTCTGCTCTGGTTATTTATTTAAAATTTGTGATTAAATATAGTCCTACCCTATTTTTTAAGCCACATTTTCAAAAAAGAAAAGAAATTGAGGCTTGGAATGCAATCCAATCATAAAATAATCTGGCACCATCCCATTCAACCATCCCATTCAACAATTTACAAAATAGATTCAGGGAACACGATCGAACAAGGCTTCCTTGGGAATATGGTCAATTATCAACGTCGTGCTCATGCTCAAAGTACAATAAGTGCATGCTACCATATTAACATGCAAACCATGCGCATGTATTGGCCTAGATAATTATGTGCCTATTCAGGCCAAGTCTTTAATTTAGCTCGAGCGTGAAACAAGCGCAACATATATACAAAGCTGGGGGGGGGGTTAAGGGGCCATTGCCTCTAAAACTATTCGTTCAATGACATCATATTCTTACGGAAGACGGATAGTGCCACTCAATAAAGTCTGAATATATTTTTTTGTACGTTTGAAAATATGTTTTTGTATGTTTGAAAATATGTTTTTGTACAGCGGCCGCCACTTATTATGGCGACCGCCACTTATTATGTGGCGGCCGCTGTACAAAAAAAAATGTTTTCACACGTACACAAAATATATATTCAGACTTGCACTATCCGTCTTCCGTATATTTTAAGAAAATTCGTTCGAAACAAACCCGAACATTTGAGAAATCACGAGGATGCTAACTTGAAGTGCAGTCGTTGTTCATTAGGTTTTAAAATTGTCTTGATAAACCTGTTCATTATTGTTTTGCTGCCCGTTGCGATAGTTTATTTGGCATAGTTTCGATTGAAAATTGGGAGGGTTGGGGCTAAAAACAAGGTAACTTCATAGTGTCAGTTTATAAGGCCCTTTAGAAATGTTTGTTGAAAATGAGATTTCGGGCTGGCGTTTCAATTTTGAGGGAAATATTTGTGTAAACCTAACGAAATGGATTTGGCTGAAACGTGATTTTTGTACCATATTTTATCAGGTAGGCCTACAAGCGATCGCAATATAAGCAGGGTTACACTGCAGTACTTGATTTACTTCTTACTGTGTGGTGTGTGACATGTCGTTTTATACCCCCTCGAGGTGCACACACATCCCTCGGCTTTTGATTCGGGTTCTGAATCTAAATAGCATGGGCGTAAATCCTGGGGGATGGTAAATATATATCCCCCTTAAGTTTGCATAAAGAGTACGTTTGAATCGTGAACAGCGCCCTATAGCACAATATGGAGTACCCCCCCCCCCCCCCCCCAGCTACTGCTGAATAGTATATAATTGGCAAGTCTTCTTTTTTAACAGCGGATAGACCAGTTTTCTTCTACACGCAATGTATGACTCAATACATGTATACATAATCCCTGGGAGCGCATAATGCTGGACACAGCAAGGACGATCTATTGTTCGAGTTGAATGAATGGCATTACAACCTTTCGATCCTTTGCTGTCTCCCCTATTCACATGCAAAATGCGCCCAACGCCCAAAGCATGCCAGCACACCCGTGTCACCAGCCATACGATGAAGAGTTTGAAAATACGCATTACGTCTGTACGTTATGATGAGTTTATCGAGGGAAGACGTAATAGGAATTTTTGTCATTAAATCAGGTTCTTCTACTGTTATTTCAGTTTCATGATAATCAGGCAAACAAGGATCCGTATCTGTAACCAGACCGATAATTGGAGTGAATGTTACATGTGAGAGGGTGTTCGATGAGGTGAGTTTTGTTTGTACATGTACATTGTATTTTGACTTGTATCATTTACATTTCGTTGTCGTACTCCGCGCTGTGGTGTTGAACCAGCCAGCCGACCCTGGCAAGCTCGGTGATCGATTGGTAATAAGACGTCTGCACTAGAAGGCAGGAGGTCGTGGGTTCGAGTCCCGCCCGAATGATTTTTTTCTCACTATTACTGGGGGGTAACACACTGAGTATATACATTGTTTATACGTCGGTGAAAGGCAGATTTTGAAAGTGCTACAGTCAAAACTTCTTTCGAAAATTGGTCCTTCCATTTGGGTTTCGGGTGTTTGTTTGTTTTTTGGTGTTTTTTTTAACTCACCCTGTATATTCAGCTGGCTAGTTTAGCCATGGAGATGGTACCTCCATGGTTTAGGCGACTTTCTTTCAGTAAACGATATTTTGCCTGCTAGATTGTACAGCGCATTATAAAAGGTATTAAATGACCCACCGTTGTGCAGCACCAGATGGCCTAGTGGATAAGGAAGGGCATGTACATGTAGTTCGATAGTGAGAGATTCCTGGTTCAAATCCCTACTGACGAAATTTTCAAAAAAAATCACCCCAAAAATAACGAATATTGTTCTTTTCTTAATTTAAATTGAGGAAAAAATTCCGTACTGGATCACCACTTTTTTCAATTGATTTTCAAGCGCCAAAAGTTGCATTATTTATGGTTATTCCCTTCACTTTCTCTCCCCCTCTCCTTTCCTTTATTTCTAGTTATCAATCAGTCACTTACCTCATCGAGATTCGAACTGCGGACTCTTGCTTGAAACACGAGACTCTTATCCACTAGGCCGCGCACGATCTCTGTTGCAATGATCAATCTTTGGACGTATTTGAAGTACCATTGAAATAAACTAAATATTCATGAGAAAATAAATATTCATAATGACGTATTGCACTATTATTGGCCGGCTCATGCGTTGTCATGGTTGTCGATGTCATGCGAATAACGTACCGCTGTTCTAGACACTTCAATCAGTTTTAATTATAACCGGCTGCTTCAACTTAGTTCTGCACGACGTGTGCATCAAAAATGTGCTGGAAAAAAACAACACATTTTGCCTAATTGTTTTTCGCATTTACACAGCTTCCTGGATTCCTCTTGGGTGAAATCACAAGGTGAGGTGAAAATTGATGTGTTTGGCGGCAGATAAAGTGGTGATCCAGTATGGATTTTTTCCCTAAATGGACTCCAAATTGATTCAGTTACAGAGTATTACATTTCCTTTTTGTGATTTGCGGCTCAGTCCGGCGAAATTGTAAAATAGTCCAATTGTAATATTCCATAAATTCCCATCTCGCTAATACGAAGTCACAACGACAACCCCCACCACCACCACACCGAAAACTAAAGCACTGTTTAAAAATGTGCTCGTTTATTCAGAAATTCAGGTAGCATAATATCCAAACTGATTGCATGTTTCCAAAGTGTCTTTCCCGTTTGCAAAAGTTCCTTTTAAAAGCCCACTATAACGGTTGAGCCGGCATGCTTTAAATTTACCAATGGCATCCCTACATTCAAGTTTTCTCGTGCAAATAGGACCCATTTTGGACCCTAAGTGTATCATATCTGCTCTTAGATAATAGCCAAAAAGCTAGGGAGATGATCCTCGGCTATATTCGCACGATTCCACCGATTTTTAAACTAGACGGTCTCGTTTTTTACCAAAAAAAATTGTGGGGTCACTTTATATGCAAATGACTCGCGTAAAAATTTTTGAAACCCTTATCACTCGCGAATTTATTGCGCCCGCCGTTGATCTTATTGTACCATACGGATATATCGTCTGTCTAGCCCCCACCCCAACACCCCCCCCCCCACCACCACCACCCCGAAAACTAATAGTAATAAAAACTGTTTAAAAATGTGCTCGTTTATTCAGAAATTCATGAAGCATAATATCCAAACTGATTGGATGTTTCCAAAGTGTCTTTCCCATTTGCAAAAGTTCCTTTTAAAAGCCCACTATAGCATTAGAATCACACTCTCGGGGAAAAAATGGTCCGGATAAACTTATTCTTTATGATGGGATTTGCGGTTTTGCCGAAGTCAGTTGAGTGTGATCGGCTGACTGATAAGGTTTACGCGCAAAACCCCAGGCCAATGAGGTTTTGTATAGAATGGTGGCCGAACCACTTTTTGCGAAAGTGTGCCGGTAATGCAATCACGGATCCTACAGACAAGGATTAACGACTCGGCCCAACTCCTGGTTAGACGCGTGATAACGGCCCGTACTGGTGGCAAATACCATGAATACTTTTCAACAAAGGCCCCTGCGCGCGGTGTCTTTCAGGTTTGCAAGGCTCTGCGCCCGATCTGGCCTCGAAGTCTGTCAAGCCAGCGAATTATATTTTTGAATATTCATGAGTCTACGTTTTGGTCTTTATTATTGAATTCTGATAAGTGATAACTACATAACCATGGTAATGCCGAGCACAATATCTTTAGCTTTAAGATGAACAATGAAATGTCGCTTTTGTTTCATCGGTTCGGCATCTTATCTCTCTAAAACTTTTTAATAAAAGTCTAATTAAAAACGAAATTTGGGTAAACGGTGTTCTCCTCGAAATTTGACGTTTATTTCCCGGGTAAATACTTCATCTATGACGACAAAAACTGCACAATACCATCTGTTATATCCGGAAGTATTTATTTTTTTTAAAATAATGTGGAACAATTATATCTTAGATAAGAAGTAGTTTTGCTTACAGTTTTTTTTTATGAATATTTCCGTTTAAGATGTAATGCAAAAACCCAACACAATGGCACATCTGGAAAATTCGCGATTACAAGCCAACGGGTTTTAATGCCCGTTATCACGCGTCTAACCAATTAAGGCAAGTCCGCTCAGTGCATTTTGTACTAGAGCTCAGAACAGTCGTTTATCCTGGTGTCTAGGATCCGTGATGCAATCCACATTTCGGACGCATACAAAATGGCATCCTTGGTTCCACACAGTGACATAAGGTTCAGTAACTTAGTAATTTGGTTACGTGATGTGATTTAATAATAGCAAAATGGATTGTCTTTGATCTGTGCAGGTGTATATAATACAGCTTCTGCCTTCTCCAGCTAAACAGCAAGAGTGACAACGAATCTAAATATTCGAAGAGATCACGTCTTCCTGGAAATTTGGGCATCATTTCAATATGGCTGTCTCCACTTCATGTCAACGCAGGTTAGGATTGTCGGGAATGAACAGTGGCCGACGGAAACTCTTGATTGCATTATCGTTGCTGCTGGTGATGGCAAGCTTGTACATGTATCTGAAAATGACCGAATCGCTGAACACCCCTGGAAGCGATAGCAACAAGAATTTACGCCAAACAAGTAGGGAATTCACCAACAAACCAAATAGTGCCGAGGAGAGGAGTGGTCATCCTACTGATCAACTGGTCAGTGCGGAAAGGAGTGGTCATCCCACATCGGATCAACTGGTCAATGCAGGAAAGAAACAGCAACCGAACATTGTCTTCATTCTCGCTGATGATTATGGTTACTCTGACATTGGTTACCATGGCTCTGTAATCAAGACACCCGTTTTGGATAGACTTGCCGCAGAGGGCGTTAAACTTAATAACTACTACGTTCAGCCGATCTGCACTCCAACCAGGACGCAGTTGATGACTGGGAGATACCAGGTAAAGTAGCACACTGTGACACATGGGACCGTACATTTGAAGCTAGCTGTCAAACGAAATGAAAATAACGATGTTAAAATGGAATAACGATGTTCCAAGGGTTTTCTTTGTCAACTGTCCTTCAGCACATACTTTGTTTTTACATAATATATTATCAAATCAGTTAAGATGCGCTTTAAGTACAAAGTAAACCAAATGAACCAAGTATTACATTTAATTGAATAAGTTTTATTGCACGAGGAAGCCTTATTACTTCAGTTCGTGGTTACCATTTCGTGGAGCTACCACAAGTCGGGTGTGAAATACCATACTGATGTTTGTCTGTACATGTATATGTAAGCTAACAATAGGGCCTGTGAGTTGTATTTTTGCTTATTTATTAAAGCACAGAAAATACTTGAAACTGAAATCGTTGAAATTCTTTATACGCCGCAATGGCACCAAGGCAGGTTACAAAATAGGCACCATCGATACGGCTTAGCTGGTTTGATCACCATTTTTGTGGGGTTGTTTCATGTTACGTGCAGGCCTAAACATGTACATTTTGTATATGCACTGTATGTTTACCGGATTATGATAACATTTCACCAAACCAACATTTATAAAAAAAAAATATAGTAACATTTTGATGTGAACTGAACATTGCCCACATAGTGTTAGATGAAACAGCCACGCAAAATTTGATTTAACAGGCAACCTTTTCCGAGCCGCATATACAGGGTGACCCAAAAATGCAACCCTAAAACATTTGCCTTAAAAAAAAAAAAAAGGGATCGGTGGATTTTTTGTTTAGTCAGATTAAAGCTGGGAGTTTTTCTTTAACATACTGAAAAAAATAATGAAAATAGCTCTTTGGGTTGCTGAAAAAAATGTTTGGGGGTCACCCTGTACGTATCCCGTACGCGTTCCATGTTGTTGTTTGATATTATGTTATTCCGTTATTGTTTTCTTTTCCCTTAGATTCACACGGGTTTCCAGCATGCCGTCCTGGAACCACAAATGCCAAGTTGTCTTCCTTTAGATGAAATCACCATAGCTCAAAAACTAAAAGAGGCGGGCTACTCCACCCACATTGTGGGCAAGTGGCACCTAGGATTCTACAAGAAAGCTTGCTGGCCTACTCGTCGAGGGTTCGATACGTTCTTTGGTAAGAACATGCATTAAATCGCTATCCAAAGCTCCCATTTCCTCGCAGTGAAAACTGTTGCTCTCTGTCGGATCGTGGCTTTGAGTGCCTATAAGCCTATGCGTTGACAACTGTATGACAAACTGTCAGACCACGGTACTCGATTGTGAATTTCATTGGTCGATACAATTTTCACAAGCTTTGGTTGACAACTTTTCATTGAGTCTATAAGTTTCTCCACAGAACTAATCAAAGTCTAAAGTATACTACATGTATACTGTATTGTATATTGTTTGAAATTGTATTTGGTGTTTATCTGCACTCTACAAAGTCCCTGGCCAGATTTGACCCGGGACCCGTGTTGTATTGACCTTTATGCTTAGCAAGGTTCAATTAACGACAGTATTTTTTGGTCAAAATGACACATTTAAAAGGTTTTGGGTCAAACTGACACGAAAAGTGGCAGAGACGTAACATTTTGACCCGGGAATGGTTAGAGTTTACCGGCTTGTGTTTTTTCCTCAGGATTCTTAGAGGGAAGTGGTACTTATTTTTCGCACATGAGGAACTCATATTATGACTTCCGAGACCAAGAGGATGTGGCCTGGCAGTATAAGGGGCAATATTCAACTCATCTCTTCGCCAAACGAGCTCAGGAGATCATTACTAAGAAAGACAAAGACAAGGTAGATAGTTGAAATGTACCACATTTTCAATCACGCAGCTTTTAGTTTTGAGCTTAAACTACATTAGTTTAAACAGTTAACTATGAAACACATAATGTGCATAGCAAGAAGCCAGTGTTCGAAGCTCTTCCCCATGGGTAAAAAATAAATATTACTTTGAAGTTCAAAACCAGATACAGTATAAGGATTTACACCACGGCATGCCACAATAATAGCAATAGCCCCCTGTAGACCAATCGCATTAATGCGGTTTTATAAAGTATCAGTTGTAAAATCTCGAACAGTAGTTGGGCATGCATGGCCTATATTTGACCTAAAATTGGGGAAACGAAATATCTTAAGGGAGACAATATCCGGTCTGGTCGGTGGACACTCATTCCTATAATCTGTCTCAGTCAGGACAGTTTGTGCGGAGGACGGAACCATCCGGCCGACAACGGCCTATAGAATTCAAATCCAGTTTTCAACCAATGCTAACATGAATGATACCCTTTTCAAAGAGTTGTCTTAAAATTCCTTTTCCGACTTGTTTCTCTTGCAGCCGTTTTTCCTGTTCGTGTCAATGCAAGCTGTTCACATTCCTCTCCAAGTACCAGACTCTTACGTACATCAATACGAACACATCATCAGTAGCAAGCCAAGGCAGAAATATGCCGCTATGACTACTTGCATGGACGAAGCTGTCGGCAACATTACCAGAACCTTGGAGGAACTTAGTCTGTGGAATAATACATTGCTGATTTTCTCAACAGGTATGGTTTGAGACATATGTACAGGTTGTATTTAGCCATGCGGCTTAATATTTTAATCCTATTGTCAAGCGATGTTTTATTGCGTCTTGAAACCCCACCTCGTTATTTTCTGGACATTCTCACTTTGAAAGTGTGCCCGCTTAAACAAGAAACAGTCAGCCTGTAAGTAGTGTCAATAGACTTCTGGAAATGCTTTTGACAGAATAAGAAATTGATAAGGACATTTACCCGGCCCTGCTTATCAGTGAGGACTGGAACTGACTGAAGTGGGAACTGGTGTACCAGTGACCCGGCCCCGCCTACTTTGCGAGTATAATCGACGAACTTAATGTTCTATAATTTAGTTTATAACACACCTCTTGCTGGTGCTTCATCCTGGTTGGCTGAAACACGGTCACGTGTGGTTCACTAATATAGGCTAGTGCATGAAATTCGCGGCAGCGTGAACTAGACGTGTGTCAAGACATCGCGCGCGTAATTTCCGGAATAAAGTGCCCCATCGGGCACTATACAATGTACATGTACTCAAATTTTTTGACTGGTTACACAGAAAAAGCCCAAACTTAACAACTGAATCTAGGGAAACTAAAACCGTTCCTTTCATTGTTGAATTGCTCATAGTTGAATTGCTTATAAGTTAATTGTTCAATAACAGTTAAATTATAAAACTCTGAAAAGTTTGTTTTCTTATTTTTTCTATTTTGGCCAGTGGTGAGTTTTCAGCCTCGGGAAATACTCCCTCTTCTAGTCACTCACAGTCCCTCGGGGCGCATAGACGTGCACTAGTAGTGACCTCATTGCCAGTCTATATTAAATAATATATTGTGTATAATATATTCTCATCATCAGTCCAAAATATAACCTAGTTCGACTTAGCCATTTTCCGCTTGCTGAAGACGTGTTTTACACTCTTGAATATTTTTATAGAAATCAGTGGCTGTTAACACCTGATCACCCACAAAATCTATCTCTTGATTGGCCGAGAGCGCGTTTCACGTTATTCGCACTTTTTACCGAGTAGGACCAGAAAGTAGACATATTTATACAATGTCAACCTCGCTCTGAAAAAGCACTTCACGTACACGCATTGAAAACAACGTGGCAACAGAAGGTCACTTTGCGGATGATTTGGGAAGTTCGTGTGAATTTGTAACTTTTTTTCAAAGTAAACTTGTACAAAATTCAGTGCATTTTTTGGTTAATTAAATTGTCAGAAACATGAGCAAAACCTGTGGGTGAGGTGTTATAACAGAACTTTATATCTTCTTGTCATCTTGTTGTTTAGACAATGGTGGAGCACCCGAGGCAGGTGCGTTCAATTGGCCTCTACGGGGCAGAAAGAAGAGCCTATGGGAAGGCGGCATACGCGGCATTGGATTCGTGCACAGTCCACTACTAGATCATCACGTTAGAGGCACTGAAAGTAACCAACTCATCCATGTGAGTGATTGGTTTCCTACGATTGTATCGGGCCTGGCTGGCGGTAGTCTGAACGGCACGAAGCCTCTTGATGGATACAACCTTTGGGATTCAATCAGGTAATTTATGGATACCAGGCACATACAATGTATACTCTTTTTTTTGTTTAGACTGTTAGTCCCCACCTTCCATCAAAACTGTCTTCCGCAGAAAACATGGCCAAGTAATACTTTGTGCTATTCTGTCTGGCAACTCATTAATTAAAGGCATGCACCTTTATCATGAAAATCATCTACATGGGCGTCGCAAGGGGGGGGGGCACTTGCCCCCCCCCCCTGGAAAAGCAAAAAAAAAAAAAAAAGAGGCGCGAAGACAAAGTGGTGTAAATTTAATGAGTTGGGGGGGGGGGCAAAATGTCCCTGCCCCCCTCTAAAACTGATAAATCGAGAATGTGTTGAGAAGTACAAGCATTTTTTGGCAAAAAAAAATTTGCCCTCCTCTAGAAAAAATCCTGGCGACGCCCATGATCATCTAGACTCTTCTTTAGTGAACGGCTTTTACCTTTCCTTAGTTTCTTGGCCACAGTTTGATGGTTGTTGGTTTTGATCCAAATGACAGGTCTGGTACCCCTTCACCACGCCAGGAAATCCTGCATAACATCGACCCTTTTGAAGGTCACGGTCACCGTCCCTTCAGTCACAGTCTGTACAACAATTTCACTTTCACGCCGTCAATGAGAGCTGCCGTGCGAGTAGGTGACTGGAAACTCTTGACTGGACCTGTTGGTAAGGGAGACTTTCTCTGCATATGCATACGCTGCTGTGAATAACATTTTTCATGCTAAAAGGAACCTTGACAAGAATTTTTCGAAAGAATATATTTTTGTCTTTCCTCTGGAACTATGAGACATCCCTTTTTGGTGAAATTTGTGTTGGTAGATAGTTGTTTTCTCTTTTTTGGGGAGGGGGAGTATCATTGGCAAACATCACAAAAAGACAAAATGACAGGGGCAACAGATACAAGCAAGTGCGTGGCACAAATTAAAACATGCATGGGTGACATGAAAAACACAAAAGAAGGGATAGAAAAATGCCAAGTACAATGCACATAAACAAAGAGAGCAGTGAACAAAGAGGGAAATAATAAGGGTGATGAGAAGAATTGGCCAACGTTGCTAAGAAGCTGAGAAACAAGTACCGTTTGGTGGCAATATTAATAATTTATTATGGACCTTTTTTCAACGGTTATTTTAACTGCCGCTGTCTAACTTAGTAGCCATATGCATCTTCATTGAACATGTGCATTTTAATATCAGGGGGAAGTAAAGTGAAGCGCTTTTTTTTCAAGAAAGTTACGTACCAATCTTTCTACGGCAGTATTCCAATCGACATTGTCCAAGCTTAACTTTGATGTGCCTATGGGTTCGCGCCAGCATTCATCTGCAGGGTTTTTTGTATTTTATTGTGCCATTTGTGGGTTTTTTTTTTATCTGTAGGCGATGGCCACTGGACTCCTCCACCAGAATCCGGTAAAGCAACGATACGTTCCAAACTCAAACCTCACCAGAATGTCTGGCTGTTTAACGTCAAAACGGATCCCAATGAGGAGAATGATATGTCGGAGGAGAGACCGGACATACTCCAGAGACTGATGGATCGCCTTCAGGAATATTACAGCACCTCAGTCCCAGTGATTTATCCGGAGAGCGACAAGAGAGGACATCCCAAAAAGATTGGTGTCAATTATTGGACCAATTGGATGTAAAAACTTCATACACTGAATGGTCTGCTGATAACAAAGATAGGGTTAGGTAGACTCCAGAATGCCATGCAACCATACATGCACACGCATGCAGTATAACCAGTTTGTGCAGATTGAGAATAGGGACGTGATACTTGTACTGGAGCACTGACGTTTTCACTAAACTGAACTTGCTGACAGTGCCCATGCATTGAAGCAGTTGTCGTCCATCTTTGGTCCACCAAAAGGCACGCGCACTAAACACATTTTCTTTTTACAGATGGTTAGTGAATATATTGTATTTCGTCTTTATATATCGGTTTTGCATGTATACATGAACGTGTAGTCTCCACCCTCTTACAGACTATCGGGGCCTGGTTTGCAAATCGATATAAAGCCATACAATTCGGTGGAGATTGTCACTGATGCATGACGAAAAAAACCTGAAGCAGGGCAAGCGATGTAATTGTTTAATGCAATCCTTGTGTCCCATTTAACCCTGTTTTCAAGTTTTGGTTTGTCATTTTCAAGGGTGATTGTGGTGCCTTTTTGCGAATTTCCACATTTACGAGCAAAAGTGTTATGTCATTTCAGACATAAACCTCAATGTTACAGCTATTTCAAAGTTACCGGAAATTTGGTTATTTCGCTGTCGTAAATTATCTTTTCTTTGGTGATTCGTCGTTGTGTGTGTTCGTGGCAGTACGCGAATAGCAAACTTTTCTCACCAGTATTTTCAATAAGCACATTTTCAGGTTCACAATTTGAACCGAAAACCCCACAACAGAATTATGTGTCTTCCTGAAATGACACATCAACAGAGCCCTCAATTGACGGGAAAAGCATAAAATTGTTTAATGTTTAAAGAAGTGTACTTTTCAGTACAATTAACCCAAAAGGCCTTTTTTAAAATACATTTAGGAGTAGAATGTTGCACACAATATTATGTTGCCAAGAAATATGCACTTCATTGACCCTTAAGTTAAAATAGTGCCTAAAATATTAAACTACAGTACATGTATAAGTAGCGACTCAATACGGGAGGTACATGTATATTGTTTCATCTGTTTGTGATACTTCAGTGTATATGCGATAGTTGCATAATATTTTCCCAAACTTTGTGAAAAATTCTTCTGTATTTTTGCTAAATGGCCGACAATGCCAACCTGTTTTTATAATTATTTTTTTTTAAATTTAACCAGTGGTATAGTAAAAAAGGAAAATTAAACAAAGCTATCTGATTTTCGGTTCAGAAATTATTTCTCAGTACTAAGTAAAAACACTGCAAAAAAAATGCATGCCCTTAATTTCAAACAGTTTGCCGACGAAAAACCGTAAAATTCCGGTCACTGAGTTAGGTCAAATAGAAAAACCAAACATTTTAAGCGTCCTGCCCTTTTTGGAAAAAAGTATGAAGGGTACCCTTTTTTCCAAAATGGCCGCCGATCAATTTTCCAAAACGACCAGCCGGGCTATTCTTCAAGATGGCAGCTTTTTTTTTAACTGGCCGCCACTTGGACTCGGGAAATGACATACCAGTTTTAGAGTCCAAAAGAAGGATTTTTTTCAAAAAAAGATCATTAAATTTATCATTTTTTCGGGGTTTTTTTTCCAATTACCAAAATGTAGAAAAAGGAAGCGGCCTCCCAAAAGGGAAGCCGGCGGGGACGCTAAACACGTTTTTTGAAATCGATCAAACTGATTCCTGCCAGAGCTTAAAAATGCGCCGCCGAAAAATGCCACGTCGATGGCACATATGGAACACCATACTTTTGGTCAATGTTCCAGAAACAGACAGACAGCCCGACCTACCACCAAGTGACACATGTAGAAGCTCCTGCAGAGCTTAAGAAGGGGGGGGGGGCGGCGAGGGGAGCAGGGGCGGATCCTAGATATTTTGAAGGGGGCGGGTTCATCAACAAATCATTGCTGTAATGTATATAGACGGATTTTTTTGTTTGGATACTTACCTTTGCAAAATCAATAGGAGGGGGGAGCTGGACATCATTAATGAAACTTTGTTCAAAAATTGTACGGACGTATTATTTTATGTACATGTACAGTCGAACGTCCGACAATAGTCCCCTGCAGTAGATTTCGACTCTCTCTACCTTCTTTTTCCTTTTTTCCCCACGGGTTGTCTAGTATGAGTATCACCCGTTATCCACGGAGACAGTCTTCGTATAATGTCCGATATATAAAAGGATCCGCATTTATGCGATCTCGTGCCTCAGCCAATCGGATCTCCTGCCTTTGATCACGATCCACGCACGGAAACATCCCCAAGGGCCGGGAAGCGATTTTTTTCGCCCAAACGACATCCACATATGGGTGTACGCTATGGGGTTTGGACTTAACTTTTAAAAAACATGAGAAGAAAATATACAATTAGAAAAAAAAATAGAGGTTCGCGTTTGGTGAGTTACAAACGCAGAGTGGTCGGGCTGGCATATTTTCTTGTGTTTACAATGACTTAATCATAATTGAACTACACATTACCCCTCCCATTACCTAGCACCCATTACCCTGTGTTTTTCACAAAGAAAATCACACAACCTGCAGTTGAACTTGTTGCTTTACCTCGACAAGACTTGTAGGGCTATCAGGAAGCGCACATGTGGTGCTGCATGGATGGTTACTCAAGCATACCACCAGTTGGGACTATTGGTAGACTTGCCGAAGCCTCTAACGTCGTTGGAGTTTATGCAACAGAAATATGCTAATCTTAAAATAAAATGGCCTTTATATTTTGTTTTTTTTTGTCTTTTGCATGGGTATAATAAAATTCTGCACTGAAGTTATGACAACGGTAGACTTGACGGAGCCTCTAACGTCGTTGGAGTTTATGCAACATATGCTAATCATATCATAAAATGGCTTCTATGTTTGTTTGTTTTTTGTTTTGCATGGGCATAATAACCTTCTGCACTGACTTTACGACAGAAAAGTTTGCGGCTACACGCTGTGGAAATATTAATTTTCAGCATTTAGATATGAGAGAAAAACTGGTGAGGCGCGATTTCAATCGGTTATGGAAAGAAATCTTGTTTTCCTTTTATTTGAGGCTAATTTCTATATTTTGAATTCACCTAACTTTGAGCTTCCGGCAGCCCTGGAAGGGGAGGTCAAACGACTTTGACTCTAACAAAATAAAAAAATGTTTATCAGTTAATGGTCTATCTGATTACAAGGTGTGAACATGATTGATCATTTTGTTTAAGAGTTATAGGTGAAAAAAGATGGTCATTTTTTTCAACGAAAGTCGCTTGTACTTTGATACCTGATGACGTCATCATGACGTCAGGGTAATATGCACCACTCGGGATGAGGATCGATATATATTGAAAGTTTATACAAGTTCATATCATAAACCGTTTTAGGAGAAAACACGCGGAGAAGTATTGTACGGGGAAAAAAAAAGAAAAAAAAGTAGAGATTCGCGTTTGTTGTTACAAACGCAGAGAGGTCGGGTAGAAAACTATTTTATGAAACACTGTCCAGTTAAGTCATGAATATTTTTGTGTAAGAGCAAAGGGTCACGAAATTAATTCCTTTTCAGGACAATCAATTATTTTGTTTACAAAATTCATCTTTAATGGTGTAATAAATTTCAGTAAACATTCTATGTACACATACAAGTTATTTCTGGCTTGATAACGTCATTAGTCAAAAACGGGAAGTGAATTCTGATTTAGTTCGGAGTGGATGTTCATTGAGAAGTTAAGTAACGTATGGAAATTTGGAAAATATAAGTGTGTATATTCATAACACCGAACTTCCGGTTTGATGACGTCACAGTATTTGGAAGCAAAGGTGAACATTGTAGTGGTATCGTTATTTGGGCTAAGATATACGACATGGATCAAATGATAGAATTAAATTTAAATATGATCGTTGGCACATTCTCATAGAAGTAACTTCCAGTCTGATGACGTCATGAATTTGAAACCTTGCCAAGTTATCTGTGGTTAATCAAAGAATATCAATAGGGGCGATTTGGTCAAATTTGAACCTATGGTTTTAAAATTAAAGAAAGCAAACACTATTTTATGTGCCGCTAGGGGGCGCCCTTTCGTATGATGACGTCATCACACTGTTTTTGTGTCTGGCATTCCTCACTTAACACTTTCATAATATATATGTCTGTAGTAAATGCTTCCGCTTTTGATTTATATTCAGTTTTATTGCAATTAATGGTCTATCTGATTGCAGAATACAAACACAATTGTTCTAATTCAAGAGTTATAGGTGAAAGTAATTGGTCACGTTTTCAGATAAAATCACTTGTAATTTGACACCTGATGACGTAATCATAACGTCAGAGTAATATGCACCACTTCGGATGAGGGTCGATATACATGTATATAGTTACAAGTTCATCGCTTGTAATTTGATACCTGATGACGTCACGATGACGGAACAACATTTATAATATCTTCGTAACATGGTACAAATTCACACAATGTTTTGTGATCATACCTATACCATTCGAAAGAAATTGTGCTTTGTTTTGATTTCAGGCTAATGTCTTCATTTTGAATTCACCTAACTTCGACCTTCCGGTAGACCCGGAAGTAAAGGTCAAGCCAGTTTACGTACACAACAAAAACTGTTTATCAATTAATGGTCTATTTGATTACAAGGTTAGAATATAATTGATAATTTTGTTCAAGAGTTATAGATGAAAGATCGTCATTGTTTTAACGAAAATCGCTTGTAATTTGACACCCGATGACGTCATGATGACGTCAGAGCAATATGCACCACTTAGGATGAGGGTCGTTATATATTGAAAGTTGACAAGTTCCTATCATAAACCGTTTAGGAGAAAACCCGTGGAAACGTGCCGTACGGAAAAAAAGGAAAGAAAGATTAATCGTAACAACTCAAAAGAGTGGTCGGGTTGTGCCCGACCACTCAAAAAGTGAATTTGAACGTTATGAAATTCGGACTATATTTCCCTTTAAAAAAATCTTCCAAAGCCCAGGTTAGAAAAGGAAAACAATTCGGGTGTACCGAGATTCGACACCCGCAACCTCGCGGTGCAAAATCCTACATGCTATCGACTGAGCTGTCGCACTGCTTGCTAGATGTGGGGAAACAAAATATACCTGCGTGCGTATCATAAAAGTATTGTAAAGGGCGCTAAACAACTATGTATGTGGATGTCGTTTGAGAGAAAAAAAAATCGCGGCCGGGAAGCTCGGAGGGCCGATGATCCGTCAATGTAATACGGGTGGGTCCCAAAGGGGGGGGGGCAATTAGGTAACATAGGTAGCACCATTCTTGGACGGGAAACCAATGATTTTATCAATAAAAAAAACTTTCCTTTTCTCAAATTCCAAACCTTGGTTAGGGAAGAGTCCTCAAATGGGGGCCTTTCCGAGATGCCCCCCGCCCCCACGGCCATCCGTTACGCCACTGCACGCAGAAGATGGCAATAGAACTGTAGGAAACGGAAACAATCGACGAGACGGTTTTCGATGACGGCCGCAATCTCTTTGACAGCAGATCCTCCTCCCTCCTTGCAAGATTTCTTCGGAGCCGGCATGGCGAGAATTCTGCGACGCGGGAGCTGCTTGGGCGGTAAATTGAGGAGCCTTTTTGACACTTTTTGCCGACCGAGATAACCTTGTCTTAGATGGCGCCCTCAACATTGTGGTACTGTCCTGAGGGTTTACAAGCCTCGCCTTCGTTTCAGGTTCGGCACTGAGTTCTGGGCGCACAATAAACCTTTAATTTGTTATCCTAATCAACAGGAAAAACCCTAAACCCATAAATGCCTCATCATTATTACAAGATACAATGTGCTTGAATCAAAATATATATTATATACATGTAGACGGATGTTTGGAAAGGCTCAATTAAGCCAGAGCCTATTATAGTGTAGATGTAGGATACTTAGCCGGCCACATCTCCGTAGTTTGGTTTCTTCAGCAATTAACGAATGCATTACAAGCTATGGCTGAGAAACGTTCCAATTTGTTGCTATGGTAACCAGCAAACCAACCAAATCGTTCACCCGTAGCCAGCCCCAATCATATCATACGCGCCACTACGGTGTTTTTCCCGACACAGCGCTTCTTTGTAAAATAAATGTTCATTTCCCATTTGATTCGTGTTCTTCGGAATCGATGTTTCCACTTTTTCATATCATCATTATTAATGATAATGAACTGTATTTAGATAGATAACACTTTTCAAGATATTGAGAGACGGTATTTGTTTACTGTGTTAGTTATAATTGCTGGCTGCA